CACCACCAATTATTTCTTCTTCTTTCTCTTCGCCTCTCATTTAAACCAAGCTCGGCATCCAATGAACATTCACGCCGGTTATTAAAATACACGCTTAACGGCGTTAGAATCTCCAACGGAATATACAACATGGAGTCACTTTCTGCCATAAATAATTAAAATTAGGATAACGAAGTTTTTAAAAAAAAATTGGAATAACATCACAAACCGTATTTATTGAGATATATTATCACATATACTATTACAAAACTTCCGAAAGTGTAACATAAATATATAATTAGAAATTTTATGAGAAATGACTTCAGTTAATACCGATTTTAGTTATTTGTTTGTGAACACTTTTTCGGCGCACTGTTCACAATACAAAGACTCTTGTGCCTTTACGTTCGCAACTCATTTAGATATGGTGTACCATAGATATAGGAACCCCACATTCACATAATAAAATAAGTGACAATAGTTATAACTTAACCGGTTGAATTTGGGGTCAGGCGTTTGGGGGGGGGGGGAAGTCGAGTCATGTCATGAGTTCGAGTATATGAGTCTGCGGATTTTTTATGTTATAAAAAATTAGCAAAAACACAAGTATTTGAATGGCAAACATGCATTACGTCTGTTTGTAGGCATAAATAATAAATAAGATCAAAATTACAGATAAGAGAAAGGACTACAACTAATGAAAACCTAACTACAAAAGAATTCAAAAGGCCAATATTTCTTTACTGAGAAGACCGTTGAAAAGAGTTGTCAGCTTTAGGTACCTATTGGTTAAAGTCTTCTCTGTAATGGGAACTGGAAATAATCGTCTGCTAATTTTGACATAAGAGATATTTCTCATAAAAGTTTATATGTAACTTCCTAATCATTATACATTTATTTTTGAATATATATATTTTTTTTAAATATATATGATAAATATTTTTTTATCTTTTTGAATGATCATGAATATTTTAATTATTCGATTATAATCTCCAATCCTGGCATTGTTATAATTATGAATTTTGCATCTTTAAAGTATAACTCTACTTTGTGTTTGGCTAAAACTCAAATATACAACGAAGATTGTTGTATTGATCATATAATTTATATTCGCAGGCAAGTAGAGCCGTTTTGGTATCAGAATAAATCTATATTCCACTCGACAAATTTTCATAGCAAGTTGTTGTTTCCACAGTTCCACTGATCCCAAACATATATATTAATGTTTACGTCTGTTGCATGTAACGGCTGAAAATGTTGCCTTCAAATTCAACATGTGATACGTTTTTTTGGCCATAAGTTAATCCAAAAGAACTATACTAGTTTGTTATATTATTCGATATAAATATTGTTTTACATTTTAAACAGAGAAAAGGTAGTGAACTTTGAAATTTTTTGTAAACAGAAACGTTAAGTGCGAAGGAAAATGTATTTTTTAATTCCATAACTTTGAATTTAAGGAATGTCTTAAGAGTATTTTCACGCCACTTGACCAATGCGGTTTCAGAGAAATAAATGTAAAATCTAAATAAATAATTAAACTGTTTTGGAATTTCTTGATCCCAGAGATTGGCTTTATTGAAAAAATATAACGTTGTTTTTCCCTGAGCAAGTATATTAAGATTTAAAAAAAAATAATAATAATAAGAAGAGGGAACAAGTAACTAACCTTTTGCCTATCTCGAGTCGCAGGACGGCATGTGAGGCCGTACATGGTGCAGGATTTGCTGGGTACGTCTTAATATGTTTACTTTTAGTCTTTTAGAAAAATTAAAGTAGACAGATACATTTGATTTTATTGGACTGTTATAAAGGTTTTTTTTTATAAAGCTGTTTAAGCATATTTGAAAATTATCTTTTGAAATCTTGCTATAAACACCTAAAAACATCATTATCATTACAAACGTTCAGGTACAGATTCGAATCATTTTCTGTCTCGTGGCTGACTAATAACTTAAATACCTTATATTTTCGTAGATTAAATTTAAGTTTCAGACTACATTAAATATTACCAATTTGTTCCAAAATTCATCGTCCTACTAACTTGAATCATCGCCCGTTACTAAATATGTGTAGATCATCTTATATAAAAATTTATCATTTCATAAATTTACTAAATATGTGTAGATCATCTTTTATAAAAGAATATCATTTGAAACAATAAAGCTAAAAAGATCCCAAACAAATTATCAATATGATGAAGTCAATGATGAAACCGATATATATCTTCTTCTTTATGACCGTACGTACTAGTTATATCATTAATCCTCAAATAAAACGTCAAAATTTGCGTGCTGTGTTTTTTTTCCATTATATAGAAGACTAATATTATGAATCGTGACGCATATACATCGTATAAAACAGTTTCAACATCACCTTCATGGATCGGAATCATGATTGTGATATTACCGCAACTACACAAATTGTCTGTTAATTTATGACAAAATGTCAAAGGCAGAGAGATATCTAAGCCTGCAACTTTTTTTATTTGCTAAAGTCTAAACCTGAGTTTTTTGTTGTCTTTGGTAATTTACTAATTTCTAACAACTTGTATGTAGTTCTATAGTTCTATATGTTATGTACTACTGCAGTACTTAAATTCTAAAATAAAAAGTTTATGTTATGTTAGTTTTGAACTTCTGAAGACTATTTCTAAAACCAGTTATCTAAACACAAGCGTGGTTGCAAGCTCATAGTCCACGCTATCTTGTGATCATTATTTGAATCAATTAATAATATCCACAGTTATTGGAATCATTACCACCCTATAAGCTGCGTTCCATGATTTAATGTGAGGTTAATCAAGATTTATAGATTATTATCTGGAGAGGTTCTGGAGTTAGACAAATAATCGGCTAGACACGTTGTTACATATAATAGAGATCCAAATATAATACTATTGTATACATATATAGACACATCAAATTTATGACTAAGTCGATCTCTAGCATGTACAAAAATCAAATTGTATAAACCACAATAATAATAATTTAAAGTGTATTTTGTTTTCCAGTGCAGGTTGTAAATAGTCGAAAGACAAATGGAAGGAGAGAAATAGAATATACCAAGTCAAAATGAAGACTTTAACTTAAATGAAAGGGCAATTTTTGAAAAAATGAATGGTTGCAATTTTATTTTATAGAGGTCAGCAAAATGGATTTTCAATCATGTAACTTATGCGACTGTGAACTCCGTGAGTATTTAGGACTAGTCTATCTGGCTATTCATAATATATATACGCATCTAAATTGATTATGATTTAATATTATTTTTTATATATATACATAAAACATAATAAAACTCTTTGCTTTAGGCAAACAATACACATTTCTAATGTATATCCAAGTAAACAACTATGATCTTTTTCGTAAGTCCTTTTGACGAAAAAAAGAGCCATACATCCTAGAGAGAAAAAAAAAGAAGTTGAAACGTAAAGGAGTTGGAATTGAAATGACGAACTTCTATTATTGGGGGTCCCATCACAATCAAAAGTCAATTTCTCAGTTTATCGTCACAGGGAACAAATTTAATTTAACACTATAAGCATTTGTATTCAATTATTTTTTCGAAATTATAAATAAAATACCATCCACAACATGTGACATCGTTCCCACTGCTGACCTCGCCATGAGGCACCCTGGAAGAGCCAATTTTTTTCATTACCGCCCCACAAAAACTATAAATACCAGATAGTATTTTAATTTATTAGTTTTAATTTCTAAAAACCCATCCAAGTTGATTCCAAGTCAATGCAGAATCCGACATGTCGAGTAGCATGTTCTATTGTATTATACGCGATGATTAATTAGCAAATGTTTCTATCAAACAAAAAAAATAATGGTAAATCGTAAATGTAAGATACTATCAAGTTTAGTAAAAAAAAAAAAAGATACTATCAAGTTTGTTAAACATTAAGCTAATCAGATCACCTGCTTGATCAGGGTAAAAAGTTTTGTTAAGAAGCATTTATGTCAAATTATCAATAGATAACGTGTCTGGTTTGGAGAATTCCTATAAGAAATGTTAGGGAAATTAGTATTAGACTATTAGTCTTTGTATTGTTGAGAAAGAAAAAAGGAAAAAAAACTTAGGACATATGGACCTAAAACCATTAAAAGAATAATTTATCTTATTATTAATTAGAGAAGATAAATTTAATTAAAATTTCAGAATAAAATACTCTCATTTAGTATATATATTCCATAAAAATATACTATAACTTAAATAGGTGGCTAAGAAAATAATACAATAAAAAGAAAGTGGTATGAGGATAGGCATTTGAACAAAACAAAAAAAGAAAAGAGAGGATAGGCTAAAGCAGCAAGAGGTATGTTGCTTTGTCAAATTAAATAAGAAATCTCAGCAGTGTACACCTCCACCAAATATTTATTTCCTGATATAATGATTCATTAGGAGAAAAATACCAAACTCTTTACTATTTTTTTTTTAATTTAGAAAATAGATTTTGCAAATTTAGTTTTTCTCTAATGAGATACTTCCTCATTTGGGTTGATAAACATCAATACTAAAATCAAACAAAAAAAAAGTGAAAGACGGAACAAAATCTTACACATGTCTTTAATTTGTGGGTCTGTAAATAACTAAAGATAGAAAACTATTTCATGCTAATCACCGAAATTAATACTAAGTTTTCTCCTCCCATAATTTTAGTGAAATTGGGACCCGCAGATAATACACACTGATTCGGGGGTTATGATGAATTTTGAATGATATCAAAAGGCAATAATTATCAACGGTCAAAGAGTTAAGAGCCAAAATAAATAAATAATTAAAGGGGGGTAACAATTGGAGACTTAAACGGCGGAAAAAATCGTCGTTTTTAGTGGTATAAAAAGAGGACTCCTATCGACTCTGCAACAGAAAGCTCGGCTTCACCTAATCCTCCCTCCTCCTTCTCTCGCCGGAAACCTTATGATCGTGTGAAACGGCTGAAATAGCTGTCGTTTTTATCGCTACTTCGCCGCCGTTGGAGGGTTTTTTTTCAGTGAAGGAGAGGAGAGATGTCGAGTCTCGAGGATATCAAGAACGAGACGGTTGATCTGGTAAAATTCTTATCCACCATTTTCTTAACCTCTCTCTGTTTATCATTCCTACAAATTGTTCAATGGGTTTGCTTTGAATGAGAATAGATCTGTACACTATGGCGAGATTTGCTTTGTGATTTAGTTTGATTTTGGTTTCATTACTCTCATTTTGGATTAGATGCTCTGTCTCTTTTGCAAAAACCATTTTCCCAAGACTCTGTTTTTGTTATTTATGTTCCAGATTCGTTCTTTAATCTATTTAAATTGAAATCTGGGACACCATTTGAAGGATTGAGAAACTTAATTCGACCAATTTGTATTGTAAGCCAATCGTTTTACATGTAGAGAGTTTGTTCATACGAAAAAAGTAGATCTACGCATGTGATCGCATACAAAAAAGATAAGAAACAGAGTCTTCTTTTAGTGGTGGAGCTACCTAAGTCTCAATAAAGTCCAATCTACTTGTAAAGTTTTTGTCTTTTTATTTTTTGCTCTATCTCTACCATATTATAATTCTCTCTTTTTCAGTTTTGGTTAGAGGACAGTGAAATCTTAAAAGTTTAATTCGGTAAATTTTTTGAAAAACAATTATGAATTTCATTGTCTGTAAACAAGAAGTTTAGATTCTCTGTTCTATGTACCTTTCCGTGGTACGTTCAACTTCCCCTGTCTTTAGCAAAACACATCTTTTGTGCAGACGTAATTTTGTGAATTGGTTTTTTTAATAATAAAAAATGGAACTTTTACATTTCTTTTGACTGTATTCACCCAACCAAAGCCTCTATTTCCGCGCCGGAAAGTGAGGGAATCTCGCGGCGCGTGTGGTTTACGTCGTTACCTAGTTGGTCGGTGGTGGCGGTCCCCACCTCACCCACCGTAAACTAGTCAACGACTTTAGTCAACCTTGTTTTGCAATTACTTCGAGTCACGAGCTAACTCGCAGTCAAACTCAGTCTGCAGTCTTGTGTTAACTAAGGTAATCTGATCGGATTTGGTTTTTACTTTTCCAGGAAAAAATTCCGATCGAGGAAGTTTTCCAGCAGCTGAAATGTTCGAGGGAAGGATTGACGATGCAGGAAGGGGAAGACAGGATTCAGATCTTTGGTCCCAACAAGCTCGAGGAGAAGAAGGTCTGAACTTTGCTCTGCTTTCAGATACAAACAGAATAGTTCTGTCTCTCTTTCTGTCTATTTACTGAGTGTTTTCTTTTTGGATTTGCAGGAAAGCAAGATTCTCAAGTTCTTGGGGTTTATGTGGAATCCTCTTTCATGGGTGATGGAAGCTGCTGCAATCATGGCCATTGCTTTGGCCAACGGTGATGGAAGGCCTCCGGATTGGCAAGATTTCGTCGGTATCATCTGTCTTCTGGTTATCAACTCCACCATCAGTTTCATCGAAGAAAACAATGCCGGTAACGCCGCTGCTGCTCTTATGGCTGGTCTTGCTCCTAAGACCAAGGTAAAACACATTGAGATTGTTGTGTGTCAAGTTTTGTTGCGAAGCAAAAAGTTTCTCTAGTGCTTAATGGTTTGTGTTCTCTGTTTCAGGTGCTTAGAGATGGGAAATGGAGTGAGCAGGAAGCTGCTATTCTAGTCCCAGGAGATATCGTTAGCATTAAGCTTGGAGACATTATCCCTGCCGATGCTCGTCTTCTTGAAGGTGATCCTTTAAAGGTTGACCAGTCTGCTCTTACCGGAGAGTCCCTGCCCGTGACCAAGCACCCTGGACAAGAAGTCTTCTCTGGCTCAACCTGCAAACAAGGAGAGATCGAGGCGGTTGTTATCGCCACTGGTGTTCACACCTTCTTCGGTAAAGCTGCTCATCTTGTGGACAGCACAAACCAAGTCGGTCATTTCCAGAAGGTTCTTACAGCCATTGGTAACTTCTGTATCTGTTCCATTGCCATCGGTATGGTGATTGAGATCATCGTCATGTACCCGATCCAACGCCGAAAGTACAGAGACGGTATTGATAACCTCTTGGTCCTGTTGATCGGTGGTATCCCCATTGCTATGCCCACGGTGCTGTCCGTGACCATGGCTATTGGCTCTCACAGGCTGGCTCAGCAAGGTGCCATCACCAAGCGTATGACCGCCATCGAAGAAATGGCCGGTATGGATGTACTGTGCAGTGACAAAACCGGGACGCTTACACTCAACAAACTGAGCGTGGACAAGAACTTGGTTGAGGTTTTCTGCAAGGGTGTTGAGAAAGACCAGGTCCTTTTGTTCGCGGCTATGGCTTCAAGGATTGAGAACCAGGATGCCATTGATGCAGCCATGGTTGGTATGCTTGCTGATCCGAAGGAGGCTCGTGCTGGAATCAGGGAAGTTCACTTCCTTCCATTCAACCCTACGGATAAGAGAACTGCCTTGACTTACATCGACGGAAATGGTAACTGGCATAGAGTCAGTAAAGGTGCTCCTGAGCAGGTGATGATGAATCCTTAAACCTTATTAGCTAATGTTAGTGTTTTTCTTCTTGATACTAACTTGTTTCTCCCAAACAGATCCTCGAACTTGCCAAAGCCAACAATGACCTTAGCAAGAGAGTTCTCTCCATTATCGAAAAGTATGCCGAGCGTGGTCTCAGGTCGTTGGCTGTTGCTCGCCAGGTACTACTTGTTGTCTCTTTAGTTTCAGTCTTGTTTTGTTTGCGTGGAGACAAATGTTCATTGGTCTCTGTGTTCTTGTTTTGTAGGTGGTGCCAGAGAAAACAAAGGAAAGCCCAGGAGGACCATGGGAGTTTGTTGGCTTGTTGCCACTCTTTGATCCCCCGAGACACGACAGTGCTGAAACCATTCGAAGGGCTTTGGACCTCGGTGTGAATGTCAAGATGATCACTGGTGACCAACTTGCTATTGGTAAGGAAACTGGTCGCAGGCTTGGAATGGGAACAAACATGTATCCATCTTCAGCTCTTCTTGGTACTAACAAGGACCCAAACCTTGCTGGCATTCCTGTTGAGGAGCTGATCGAAAAGGCTGATGGGTTCGCCGGAGTCTTCCCAGGTCATTAACTTTCCTATTTACTTTTTTTTTGATTATAACAAGTGTTTGGATCTAATCTTCTTTGTTGTTTTTCTTGACATTGCAGAGCACAAGTACGAGATCGTGAAGAAGCTTCAGGAGCTGAAGCACATTGTTGGAATGACTGGTGATGGTGTCAACGACGCTCCTGCTTTGAAGAAAGCTGATATTGGTATCGCCGTGGATGATGCTACGGATGCTGCTCGTGGTGCTTCGGACATCGTTCTCACTGAGCCTGGACTCAGCGTTATCATCAGTGCGGTTCTCACCAGCAGAGCTATCTTCCAGAGGATGAAGAACTACACCATTTACGCTGTCTCAATCACAATCCGTATCGTGTTTGGTTTCATGCTCATTGCTCTGATTTGGGAGTTCGACTTCTCAGCATTCATGGTCCTGATCATCGCCATTCTTAACGACGGTACCATCATGACAATCTCAAAGGACAGAGTCAAGCCGTCTCTCACACCTGATAGCTGGAAACTCAGGGAAATTTTTGCTACTGGAGTTGTTCTTGGAGGCTACCAAGCCATCATGACTGTTATTTTCTTCTGGGCGGTACACAAGACCGACTTTTTCACGGTATGTATTCACAGTTAAGCTGATTACTTCTCTTTTTCTTGGTTAATAATGTTAAACTAAATTTTTTGCACTTATTGGATTCACAGGACAAGTTTGGTGTGAGGTCCATTAGGGACAACACCGACGAGCTAATGAGTGCGGTGTATCTTCAAGTTAGTATCATTAGTCAAGCTCTGATCTTCGTCACGAGATCAAGGAGCTGGTCATTCGTTGAACGTCCTGGAGCGTTACTGATGATTGCTTTCCTCATTGCACAACTGGTAAGACGATCCACCAAAAAAGTTAACTTCTTGTTAGGTTAGAGAATGTTCTTTGAAGGAAACCTTGTTTTGATTCATTCGTTTTTCTCTCCCCAAAACGCAGGTTGCTACTTTGATTGCGGTTTACGCTGACTGGGAGTTCGCAAAGGTTAAGGGAATCGGATGGGGATGGGCTGGAGTGATCTGGCTGTACAGTATTGTGACATACTTCCCACAGGACGTTTTCAAGTTTGCCATTAGATACATCTTGAGTGGAAAGGCATGGAACAACTTGATTGAGAACAAGACGGCTTTCACGAACAAGAAAGATTACGGAAGAGAAGAGAGAGAGGCTCAATGGGCAACTGCTCAGAGGACACTTCACGGTTTGCAGCCAAAAGAAGCTGTTAACATCTTCCCTGAGAAAGGAAGTTACAGAGAGCTTTCTGAGATCGCTGAGCAAGCCAAGAGAAGAGCTGAGATCGCTAGGTACATAATATTAGCCTTTATTCTCAATCGTTTACTGAATTCGTTTGTTGGAATTAAACACTGATTAAAAATGTTTTTGTACAAACAGGCTTAGGGAGCTGCACACACTCAAGGGACATGTGGAGTCAGTGGTGAAGCTAAAGGGTTTGGACATTGAGACTCCAAGTCACTACACTGTCTAGTCACTTAAAAAAAAAAAAAAAAAAGAGACAACCCAAACATTATTATGATTGATCTTCTTCTATTGTTTTTGTTTTCCTTCTTCTTCTTCTTCTTCATTTTTCTTCACTCACCTTTCTAAGGTTATTGTTTACGTAGGGAGAGATCTTTGTTTAATGCCATAAACTCTTCCCGAATCATATTGTTAGTCTTTCTTTTTTCTTCACATGTTTCTTCGAGATGTAACCTCTTTTGAAGAAGCAATGCAAATGTGTTTGGGCACTTTACATACACTCTCTTCTTTGCTCTTATTCTATGAGCCTATGTAATCTTAATCCAATTTCTAGCTTTCTTCTATTTGACTATTTTCATTTGCTTAATTAACTCTTTAAATTAGCACCAAAAAAGCCAAAACAATGATTTATGTTGGACCTTAATGTTATTACTACTACCTAAGGAGAGGTACAACATCCAATTTACAACTTAAAATGGGAAATTAGCCAACGAAAAAAGGGAGATTATCTTTTTTTTTTTGTCAAGAAAGAGAGATTATCTGAAATAAGTTTTTCTTTTGTTTCCACTGAAACCAAAACCCATTTTTTAAAAAGAAGAATCCCATTCAAAAACATGACATGAGACAAGTTGTGTGAAGTAGTACGGCTAGAATCTAAAGAGAGATTTGGATGAGTGCGAGTGTGTTCGAGACACGTGCGAAGATATGGATGATGACTTCAAATCAATATTATGACTTGCATTTACATTATGTCATCTGACTTTCCTCCTTTTCAGATATATATAGTATTTTTTTCCCAACTAAAAATTTGCTACTTGTATTTTTTTTTTTAATATTTCTTGAACTTTTGGAAAACGAAAAAAACTGAAAAACCAACGCACGAAATACGAATAATTAAATATACGCAAAGTTTGTCAGCTTAATATGATTAGAATATTAAAGTTTGGAGATTCACAAATCACAACATTATAATGATAAATTAAGGAACAAAGACAACATAAGGATTCGATTTGGGCAACATATATATTGTCCATTTGGCCTCACAACCAACAATAACCAGATCTTAGATCGATTTTCATAAGATGTATTATTCTAATTAACGGCCAGTGTGGTATTTTAGCTATTTCCTTAACCATATTAATTAAGAGAAGCAAAAAAATACCACTCTATAGTACATGCTTTCGTTCATAAAGAAAACGAGAGAAAACCAAACACACAGTCACACAGAGATGATTTTACATTAAGGACAAAACATAGAAACAAACTATAGATTACACACTTAAACTAAAAGTCAAGTAGTATCCTGAACAATCGACTTGAGAGCAATCGTCTGCAACTCAAGACATTTAATGTAGTCACCGATCTCACTCAACATTTCTTCCACATTCATCTCCTCTCCACCTGGCAAAAGCTTCTGCAATTCCCTCAGTTTCTCCTCTATCTCTCCTTCTTCGTCTCCGCCTTCTTTATCGGGTCTTTCTAGAACCTGAGTTCCCTTGGAAGAAGAATTAGTAGTAGTGGTTGGATTCTTAGAGGACGATAGCTTCTGTAGCAAGAAACGGCTCCATGCAAATTCTTGAGCAGACAAAGCCAGAGCCATGTCTACTTCATGCTTCACGGTTTGTTGGGTGATTTGTGAAGAATTCTTGTTCATGTTGAGCTTCTTGAGTGCAGGAACTAAGTGGCTTATGTATTTTCTCGTGAAAGCTGCACTATGGCTTTTGTTTGGTTCAACAGAAAATACTCGTTTCTTCTTGTTTATGATTTGCCTCTCCATATGAGAAATTATTTTCGCTGCAAAGGAAAGTCTACAAGGGAGAAACTTACATATATAGCAAACTTAAAATATGAGAGGGATGGAGAAAGAGAAGACTGGGTCCTACGTTTGTTTGTATATAACAATGGCTGATGAATGTATAATTAGTGTTGTCGAACTTATTTTGATGTTATTTTTCTTTCGCTACAAAAATGAGGTAATTAATATGTCTTTCAAGTACAAAACGCAATATATGACGAAGGTTGAAAGTAGTAGTTAGTAGTAATCGTTTTTGAAACAGATTTTTTAAAAAAACAACGGAATCTTATCAACGGATATGCAATTTGTGTTTTGTATTTTCAAAATATACGCGCAAAAGACAAGAATATAGAATATCTCAATAGATAATATATTACAGGAAGGTAATTATATAGAAGAGAGTGTATAAAATATGTATAAAGTGAGAAAAATAAAAGAAGAAGAAGAAGAAGAAGGGAATAATAATGGGCGAGGGAAGAAAAAACACATGGAGTCACATGCAAGAGCTCTAATTTGGCTGCATCACAACTACCCCTAAAAGAGGTGCTTTGAGAGTCCCTCTTACCATGTGGCTCCATTCCAAGAACAAGACATCAATACAAAACCCCACCTTTTCTTAATGTCTTCACATGTTCCTCTCTCTCTCTCTCTCTCTCTCTCTCTCTCTCTCTCTCTCTCTCTCTCTCTCTCTCTCTCTCTCTCTCTCTCTCTCTCTCTCTCTCTCTCTCTCTCTCACACACACACACACACACATTGTGATATATATAAATCTGCATGTGCATGTGTCCTTGCCCCTTGTATTTCCTTAGTTTGATCAATATAGATTCTCCCTCGTAATAACATAAGGCCATGCATTTTTATTTTGTGTGGTGAACTTGGTTTCACCGTCCACTTTTTTTTTTCAATCTTTGGATACAGATTGGTCAATACTCACTATAATTACTGTGATCTCAATAGTGCTATGAGGTCATCTGAGGTGCAATTAAAACATTTTCGAATTCGAACTTTACTAGCCACTGTAATTAATATGGCGTATGACCATATCACAGATTATATGGAGATTAATAGACAGAAGTTTCCTAACTATATAAGTTAAGATAAAACTACGATCATCTGTTCGGTTAATATGAATATTTCGTGTAGGATTTAAATTGAGAAATATAGTTCATGTTGACTAAAGGTCACTTTTGATATGAGATGAAATTCTATCATTTTTTTTTTAATTTCGTTTTTTACTATATACGAACAATTGTTTTTAATGAAATATATATTGAATAAAAATGTCAAAACAAAATATCTACAGCTACGTACTAGCCTACTATACATGGGCGGTTGAGACATTACAAGTTGTCTCGTACTCTATAATGCTTAAAACATGCATTACACACATTACTAGCTTTTGATGTTAACATCAAAACTGAATGAGCTCTTATTGGTTTTGTTGTGTTCTTCATCCTACCGTAGACATAGTCAAGGGTTAGTAGATTATTAATTAAAGCTGCAAGGAAATTGCTTCTAGCTCTTTTGTTATATGATTTCTTATTTTTGTTATAATGTGATGTTTTCTCTTTTATTATAATGCAGTCCCATAATCTTTGATTAAACGTGTACAACATGTGCTTATGGTAACCATCTAGATGCAGCGAATACTTTTATTCAAATGTATATAGATATAAACTCAACCATGTCGAAATCATTTATACAAAGGTACATTATAACCGTATAAGAATTTTGTAGTTTAAAACAAAATTAGAAATGATCAATTAAGAGGAGAAAACAATGAAATAGAAACGTGAAAGAAAAATATAAGAAACTTGAGAAAACCATGATGAATATTAGTTTAGCAGACTTCTCGTTTAATTTAGTCTACTTTTTGAATAAATTGATATGCAAAATTATTTTAAAAACAATTTTCTTCATTCTAAACTTAAGTTTAATATTCCTATGCACTTGCATCAGCATTGCATTTCCTAAAATCAGAAGTAGAGTTTAAATGTGGAATCAGTTATTTTTCCTACTCACTCGTCTTTAAATTCATTTTTAAACTCAAATGACAATGATCTCCGATTAATAACCTTTTTAATAATAGAAATTTTAAATAGTTGCATTCCAAATTACCAATAAATATTAGCTAGTTATGTGTGTGTATTGTAGACATTGAAGAATAATGCATATTGTCTTTTTTTTTTTAATAAAAATAATGCATATTGTCATGGAAACTTCTTGAAAATTTTCTTAATTCTTGGTTTTCTACCTTTGACTATAGTAACAATCCACGTTGAAAATTTGACAGAAATAAATGTAACTCTTCCCAATCACACTTCAAAGCTAGGAAAATACAGATGCGTAATTATTCAATTATATATCCTTACATAAAAAAAACTGGAAGATACAGTGAGTACGACGCGAATAATATTTAAATACAGAACTATTTTGTCTGTATGAATTAACCACAAAGAAATCGTACAAAACTGTCAGAAAAATATGTACAAAGTCTGTAGAGACTGATATCGAATATTGTAAATGGCATGTTACAACTTGTTTGTGCTGGTCTTCAATTTTGTTTTCTTTTATATATAAGTTTTTGTGATTAGTTGAAACTTAATAAATAAAAATAAGCAATATACTAATAAAAAAAGCGGACCCAGATAGAGGAGAAAAGATATGGCTTGGATGGGATTTGGGAGGGACACATCTCATGTGGATTTGAATTCGAGTGTTTTGTTTTTACTATTAATTTGGAGCTATTTTCACAAATGTCCCCTCGTGCACTCACTTATGACACTTTCCTTTTACAAAACCTTCTTCTATATATCTCAAATGTGTAATGTCCCTTCTTCTTTGTGTTCAAAAATTCAGAAGTAATAACCTTTGTCTATATATCAGTTGTATATATCAATCTATGTTAACCTGTTTTGGGGTTCTTGCTACTTTTAGTCATTTAGTGTTACTATATTTGCTAGTTTTCAATGTTTGAATTTTGAAACTAGTCAGTAGTCTTATGACACAATATAAATTATCCAACTAAGACAAGAAACGAAGGAGGATATGTAAAATTTGCAGCATTTGACATGATGTTCCGAAATTATAAAAAAAAAAAAAAACGAAGGACTCCCTAAATATAATGTCAAACTATTTGGCAGGAAGCATATTGCAATAAAGTATTTGGCAATACAAATAATTCAAAAAAAAAAATTAAGAACATGACAGGGAAAAAACACAGTCAAACTTTATTTGTATTTGGTAGGATATGCAACTACGAGTCTCATCCTCCTTCACATCTTTTTTTTTGTCCTCCTTTTTGATATTTGATTCGGTTTTAAATATCTCCCTTTCTAACATTTAGTAGAGGAACATGGAGTTTTGTTTTTATCTCACCAAAAAGGTATTCAAAGTGTACGAAAAAACACACATGAGATTTGGGTTCTCTGAGTTAAAAAAAATAAAGATGTCAACATACTAGTGGGATTGACAAAAAAATGTATAGATAACTATAAACTTTTACTAATTTAGGTAAATTCTGTATTTATTTGTAAACTATACACAAACAAGTTGGATGACATTCGTAGGTTTTAGAAAACAATATATATGTTACGTAGCTCAAATGACATATGATTATATTTATATAATAAGTTTAAAGAAAGTAACATTTTCTTTATAGTAGTACACAAGTTGATAATATCATATGGCAACGCACTATTTGATTAAATAACATGATTACGCAATATATGAAATGCATTTTGGTCAAACATAATATAAATCTGAAACATTTTATTATATAGCATTAAAAAAAAATTGACATACATATACAGTATAGAGAAAACGTTATAACTGACGTATGTATAGAAAAACAGACCCCATATACATGTTTTAGCGAACAACCTTTTGGACATATGACTTCAAAAAGAAAATAACAGCATTCAAAGTCAAATAAATCATAGGGAATTGAATGTAACCACAAAATCAAACTAACTCGAAATATTTTATTTTAAAAAAAACTGAATTGGACAAATAAATTTGATCAATTTCGATGTCCAATAGGCACAAGAAAATCGCTAGAGTTTCCGTTCACGAACTTGCTAATCCGAATACATTGGTCGTAGTGTCGTATATTAGAACTCGTTAGGAAAGCAAGCAAAAACATCACTAGTACTTTTAGATTGGGCTAAGATCATGGGCCTCTAGGCTATCAAGCAGTCCAATATCTCGAAGGTAAGCATAGCAACATGCTAAAGTAATTGAGATGATAGCCTTTTTGACAACAATTATGTGAAATTTTAAAAGATAATTGAGGATAGTGCATCATTTCAATGGCGCTAGGAAGATATTATTAGCGATTGCGACTTTTGATTAGATTTATTAAAAATAACTAGGTTATTTATCTTTCAAATCTTGTTATGTATGTATATGTATGGAATAAAACAAATTGTTTGTTGTCGGAAAATCAAGACTATCAAGTCGTAAATCTTCACAAAATTTTTTAACATATGACAAAAGTAGAAGAGAAACGAAATAAACCCATTTCTTATTAATTCAAGTTTACATTTTTGATACTTTTGAACTCATTATAAAAACAATACGAAAAAAACAACAGTCCTCTTGGGGATTAGGGAATAAAAGAAAGAAAATCTAAAAACAAACCCCTCAATTCAAATCACACTAATTGACACGTGAGCAATCTCTTCGGATCTCACCAGCATTACCGGTTTTAACCCCGACCCGACCCAACTTCGTGATCGCCGAGATAAAAGCTTGCCTAAAAGCTCCTTCATTGTTTGCAAACAAGTTAACTGTAGATCTAGACCGTTGATCTGTAAACAAGACTTGATCCGAAGTGAACAAACCCTTCCCTTGCTGGAGATTCTTGAAGTAAGCGTTGTCGAAAGTACGTGGCGTGGTGGGGTCCATGTTGATCGCGATCCGTGGGTCAACCCCGATGGGACACATCTGTCGAAGCTGAAGCGCGTACCCACGGTTCAAACTCGGGTCGATACGGGTTCTAGGGCTAAAATTGTAAATTCGCTTTGAGAATTTCCCACAATGTGCGAATCCCAGAGTGTGCGCTCCTGAACAATACACATTTATTTATAAACTACTGTATGTAGTCAGGATTCGGTTTGGGTACAGAAATGAAATTCGGTTTGGTACGTACCTGAGAGGGCGATCATATCGGTTTGAGAGAGACCGTGACGGTTGAACATGGAATTGAGCTGGTTTAGATTAAAACCGGGTTGTGGCAGATTGTTTTGAACGCTTGCCTTTGTAGATAATCTGCCATCTTTCCTCCCTAGCTCCACTGGGTAGCTCGGCCCTCCGGTCTGCAAATTTTAGTTTATTTGTTAGTTTTCCGATTATAATAATTGATGTATGAATAATTCGTTTTCATTCGGACTAATATCATGACCTGTTGTTACTTGTACTTGTATAAGTTAATAATTACAAACCGCCAATAAAAGGTGTTACATTATAGATATATTTTTAAACTCGAACGAGTAGCTTTGCACCCGAAAAAACGATTTTTCAATACCTCGGACACTACATAATATATTAAGGGAAAGAAAGAGTGATGAATAATAATAATAATGTATGTAACTATATAGAAGGTTATAATTATACCAAAACGACGACTTCACGAGTAGCGAGAGCCAAAATATCAGCACATGAGACTTTGTTGCGGCAGTTAGCATTTCTATCAACGGCTTGCTTCGCCTTAACTACCGTGTCGAATCCGTCTCCGGCCAATGACATGTCATCTGGATGATCTTTCTCTGACGGAGATGCTATCAATATCGAAGCATCACATCCCTACACATTCATATACAATAATAAGTACTTAAAAGATAATAATTTGTTTGAAAAATGATTTATTTATAAAAGAAACACCTAAGCTCTAAATTTAGAGGTTTAGTGCAGATTTCAATCAAAACTGAATTTTATATTTTAGAAATATCACAATTCTTATACATTCACAACTTTTGCTATGAAAATGATTCTGAACCACTATAGATATATATATAGAGGCCTTTATGATATAGTAACATACACGAACGAAGCAATCGTGAAAGAAGAGGCGGAGAGTGGCTGGAGCGGTGACGAAAGTCTGCTGAAATTTTTGACGGACGGCATCACGGACGATGGTTTCAACGTTCGGGCATGAGTTCTGGTAGAAACCTGTCCGGAGCTGAGCAGAGACACATGAAGAAAAGAGAAGAAGAAGAGAAAATATGGAGAAGATGGTTTGGTTAGTCTTCTTCTCCATGGCTAATTATAACTTTTATTGTTATGGTTTTTGAGTTTGAAGGGACTCTCTTCTTATAGGATATAGAAATAATCATTTAAATGAAAGCTTTGGTACAATTTGGGCATATTTAAATATAATAATGATGTGATGATGATTATTCTGAAGATGATGTGTTGAATGATATATTAAAATAAGCAGTAGAAACTGTTAGGAATGTGGATGTAACACTCCATCTAGATATTGACAACTTGAGAGGAGGCTAAGGTGAGGCTACGAGTTAGTATTTTAATCTTTCTTTCTATATTTGTGTTAATTATCAAGTAAATTTAAGAAATTAGCTGTAATCTACGGGTCGATATTGATCGAGACAGTGATTGAAGATGTATAAAATTGATCACTGCAGAATTCGTCTCGGCTTTGGAACTCTTACAGCTAGTCTGGATTTTAGTGGAAAAGAGATCCAATAATCAAACAAACAACAAAACAAGAAATAAATTTGATACGTTTATTTAAAAAAAAATGTATGTGTATTTTCATATATGTATAATGTATGCATGCTTATCTTGGACAACTCAATCGCATGTTGCCACTTCTCACCAACTACTTAAAAGAAGATCAAAAGGGGACAAGAAGAAGAACTCATCTTATTTGATTTTACTAAAATGCATCTACCTTAATTTTACTACATGGAATGTGATCGAAAGTTGACTTTTCATATCATAATTAACTAATTCAAATTGTGAAATTATTGAAAATATTATATAATAGACTTAGAAATTTAGCTAGTCTAACATTGTAAAACTGGTTTTAATTGGATTAATTTAATATTTCCATTAAAAAATAAAATTAGCTAGTCTAGAGGGAATACCTTAGTCATGTACAAAGAGGATACTGAAAATATTTCGAATATATTTATAAGGCATTGTTTTGTCTTCAAAATTCAAGATATATCAAACTAGTTCTATAACTTGAGTGACACTATTATTTCAAGCTATTAGCTCTGATCGAAGTTTCAGTTTTATGTTAGAATCTACAACGTCACCGCTACTGGAATATGGTTATGACTTATGACACAAAAAATGTTGTTCGTATCATATTTTGGTTTCATGCATGCAAAACTTACTTGATATGATGAGACTAAATTTGAAAAACTTACACTACTACCATTTACAAATTTGATTAGATTTAAGAATACATCAAAGTTCACATAATTTGTATTTATTTCATAATACTGATTTCTTCATCCGGATAAATTACTTGAGACATACAAAGTTTACTATATTTTGATGTATTAAACATGATCCGAATTTAGTAAACCTGTTTTTTTTTTAATAAAAAAAGACATGATACGAATAACATTTTAAAAACATAATAATCTACAGCTGTCTTGCTCTGTTATAGCCATCTCTAACTGTTTTATTGGAAACAAAATTCTAACAGTTCTCTGGAAATGATTTCTAGTAATTCGGAAAGAAACAAAACGTAAGAAAATTTATAATAACTAATAAATCGGGCGTCATGGTCACGAACATGTTCCTTGATGCTGTAATATTGTCAATAATTGAGTTGTTAGTGTTTCGTTTTATTAATCCTTTTTAATGCCTCCCTTGGATGGCGATTAAAAAAATAAAAATAGAAAGGGATAGAGTCATAGAGCATGTCATTGTATTACCAACTGCGAATTAGTTTAATCATCATAAGCATCTTTTCATGCAAATTTTGATTATAACACTAATATAAGCTGTTACTAACCGTCAAAAGTTTTCGAAACTTGTAACCTATAATTTCAAATGTCATCCGGATTTTAACTTAGATACACTATTTCAGTAAATAATAATTGGATTAATTATGGATTTCACTCCGAAATTTCTTGATTATATAAACAAAAGAATAGTTGGATTAATAATAGAAAAATATAGGAAAACGGAGTTTGTTAAGAGATCCTACATCAATTTACATGATGACAATATGTCAATAATTGCTGATTTAATTTAGCTGTGTTCTTGGGATCAATTTTTTAAATTTAGTTAGATAATTAGTTTTGTCTTGATGATCTAATTTAGTCTTAAGTATAAAGTCTCATATGGTATATATAATTATATCGGTTGATATAGGACAAGCTCTTGAACAAAAAGAAAAGGAATAAGACAAGCTACAAAGCCTAAAATCATTAGGGTGTTCGTTAAGATGTCCAACTAGAGACATGTGGCAGACTGGCAGTATGTGTTGACTCATCTAATTAGTTAACTTCACAGTTGCGTACATTCTAAAATTCGTATCTAAAGGTGATTTTAATTTTTCTTTTTTTTTCCTTACTATGATGGTATCTGTTTTTCATCTTAAGTTCTTAACTAAATTTTATCTCATTTATGTAGATATTTCACTAAAAATCATTGTCATGTATGGTGACACAAGCCAACGAAACCATAGATCATCAAATTAAACTGGATTTTGGAAGTACTTCGTATTGTTGTATTTTTATATGTAATTGGAAATTAAAACTCAATACATTTGATTTTAGTGTTTCAAACTGGAACTTGTTACTGAATTTTAATTTTTCTTATTTTGTGTCAATCGCTAGTTGGAATCTGAATTATTTGAGCACAGTTTATAATACGAAACTAACAAAAAAAGAAAGAGAGTTTCAAGTCTCGACGGCTCTAATCAGTCACATGGCATCTAAAGTCTAACCATGATCAAAGGAAAACAACGCCGTATCCATCATCATCTCTTGTATTTGGCTTTCGTGCATTGACCGAGAGATAATTAATGAAAAAAAAACACCCCTTTAGCATTTTTTTGACTTGTGATTATCCATAAACACATGCTCAGCTATTTTTTCTTCTAAATATGCAAACTTAATAGGCGTAGACAGGGAAGATTCATATCATATTAGGTGTACACAGTTTATTCTAATAGTCTTGTTTGATATATATGATATTTAAGTTTTGTATAATTAGAATCTCACATATAGATACATTCATACAAGCTTTAACGAGTTTAAACATGTCCATTGATATAGTTAAAGCTTTAGTCTCTCATATATATTCTTATAGTTTTTAGTTTTAAACAACCAACCTTTTTTAAAATTGATAAAATAGCTATGATTAATTATCCGTATATATCCGGATACCCGGGTCACTACTCACTAGGATCAGCAACATATTTTTAAATATATTTCTCGTTCAAATACACGAATCAGAAATATACTCAACAAGCTAGACCTAACTCAGTCTTTAGACCTCTACGTACTTGTGTATCTAATATTTTCATGTATAATCAAATTAATCCTTGGACTAATATAACAACTAATAACTGAAAAATCCAGGAGAAACAAGAAAACCTAATAACTGAAAAATCAATGGAAAAAGCAGGAGTAACTCATGGTATATTTGGTAGATTTAAGAGAGAAAAGATTAATTCAAATAGCTCATCATTGACTTCCTCCGGCAGTGGTGGCATATGCGTCATCGGCTCCGACACATTCTCGTTGGAATCGTTGACAAGCTTCGTCATGTTCTCGCGGACTTTGTTGAAGAGACTAAGGTTTTCCACGAGCTTTGAGGATGTGAGGTTCGCAGAAATCTGAAAAAACAAGTGCTCGTTCTCTGCAAGAAGCTCATTGGTGATGGCATCTTGAGGAACTGAGTTTGAGTTCTCAACTTTGACTCTTCTCAACCCATTGTTCCATATGCAACGCATAGCTACGTCTCTGGCGGTTTTGTTTGGAAGATCTAAGGAGATTCTGGTGTAACGTGAAACAATCGAGTGCAACGAATACGTAGCGAGGCCATCATCAAGAATTGCTTGTTCTTCACGGGTCCAATCCAAGGCGATTCCCGTTTGACTTTTCAGCTCTGACCTCTCTAGGGGCGTCGTTGAGTTTGTCGGAGTAGTCATTATGTTGATTTATCTCTTCGTTTGTCAAAGCATTCGCCAAAACATCAAACAAATATAATTATTAAACATCTGTATAAATCAAAGAAAAACGTGTTTTATAATTTTCCAAAGAAAACAAACTAAAAGGTTGTTCTAATCCAAGTAGAATTGGGAATCCTACACAAGTTTGTATCGAGAATTTAGGATTTTTTTTTTCTTTTCTATTTAGGTATAGGTTTATCTTCGTCCTTTATTTTCTTTCTATTATTTGATGTTTTCTAGCTATGACGGAAGATATAAGATCGTGTATGAGCCTGCTGCGTTTCATTTATAAGTTAATTTGCGTGAAAAATAATATGCAATTTTTAGTTGTTACATTATCATTGTTTATACGTGATCATCATAAAAGAAGAAGAGTAGTTCGTAGATTAGGAGTTGAACGAGAAAAAATAGTAATCAAATCGCTTGGACATGTCGACTGTTCAAAGAAATTAGCACGAATGAGAAGTAAAAAGCTTGGAGCAACACTGATTAAATAATCCAAAAATACAATATAACAAAACGATCTCAAGTATTATTATACAGGTTTTAAAAACCTGCTTGATAACACAGCAGGTTTTGAGAACCGAGCAGAACATCTGCTTTCAATGCAAAAGAAAAGCCTGAAAGCTAAATCAGTAAACAACAGAGACAAACAAAGACACAGAACAACATCGATCCTCCACATCAATTTGGTGCCGTATTTGTCTAGAAGCTTAGCATGCAAGTCACCAATGTATGTCGATTTGGCCTTCTCGTTGATCAAGTCGTCGTCCTCCACTTTCACCGGAAAAAATTGAGGAACCATCTCGACTATTTCACCATCTATTACCAGGAATAATGGCTCATTCCCGCCCCTCCGAGCCTGTGAAGATCCCACCGAAAGCAAGACCAGGAAGAAGTAGAAGAAGCTGAATTTTCCAAATCGAGTTGACATTACTTGTGGGAGGAGGTACAGTTTATTAAAAGTTTGATTTACTGAGACAGATATCACATGGGTACGTTGTTTATATAATAAGATACATTGTAATTTCACTTTTCTATTAGGAATATGTTTTTAAAGTTTAAACCTTAGCACACACAAAAAAGGAGGAATATGTACTACAAGTTATATTTTGCAATATTTTTTGGTTTGAGATAGGACAATATATCTACGCTCGGGTTATCACAAACTTCTCTCTCTCTCTCTCTAGACAAGAATTAGGTCAAAAGGACAAACACAAGATTAGAAAAGTCATTCCTCCCAAACTAACTTGAATATATTAGCTGTTGCACAGATCACATTGTTGCTTCGGTTCCTCAACATACCTTCTTGCGCTGAGACATCCCCTTCCTTCAAAACATAATGGAGAGATTGATTATTGTAGTTTAACAAGATTTTGAGATCTCAGGCAAAAGGCAAAATAAAAGAGGCTTACTAGGTGAGAATAGGCAGAAGCAAGAGACAAAAGTGTTGGGAACATATCAAGAACCGCTATGGCGATTTCCTCTGTTACTTCCGGGACCTGCACTTCTCAATCGAACTGGGATTCTCATAACCGTTCACATATACGTACCGGAAAAAAAGACCTAACTAAGACACTCAGTACCTGCATAAGCTGAATGGCAAACATATCGCTGATTGTCATTTTATCGAGATCTTGACACCTTTTCACAAAACTATCAAAAGAAGGACACAAGACCAAGACTTTTTTATTTTTATTTTTTTGCTATGAATGTTAATATCATTAAAAATGAAAGGTAGGTATTACAAAAGCATTACCTAAGATAGAGTAATCTTGGCAAAAAAATAAAGGAAAAACAAGATTACAATCCTAATTGGTGAAAGTTATGATGACTCTCATGAGAACCAAAGTTCCATAAGATTTCGAAAACGCTTCAAATGTCTTCTAGCTGAGATAGAGTTTCTGATTTCTTGGTCAATGATCTTGAAGATGATTGCAGCAGGGATTGACTTTGAGTTATGGTAGACGTTGTTCCTCTGTTTCCAAATGTTGAAGATCGCTGCTTGTGCTGCCAATTTGCGAAGGTGCTCCTAAAGCTGCGCCCTCTGGCCGAAAGATTTATCAAAAGCTCTGTTGGTAATGGGAGAAAAACGTTCTTCTGGACGGACACTTGGACACCAAACGGCCCTCTTATTAAGCTCCTTGGAGATGATGGACCCAGATCTCTGCACTTACCTATTTCAGCCATCTGGACTCTACCCGCAGCTCGCTCGGATGCGGCTTTGGCCCTTCAGGCGCACTTAACAGCCATGGAGGTGCCAAAGTATGATTCCCCACAAGACTCTTTCTCTTGGGTTGTCGATGGATTTGATTGCCAGGGATTCTCTGCTTCGAAACGTGGTCTGCTCTTTGGCTGCGGAAAAGCGAGAAAGATTGGGCAGATGTAGTTTGGTTTAAAGGAGCTGTGCCTAAACATGCTTTCAACATGTGGGTCACCAACTTAGACAGACTGCCTACTCGTCAAAGACTAGCCGCCTGTGGCATCGCTCAAAATGTAGATTGTTGTATATGTTCAAGACACTCGGAAACCAGAGATCACATGCTGTTAACCTGCGAGTTTGCCTCGGAAGTTTGGGCATTCATCTACTCAAGATTAATTACCAAATCAGCGCGCTTTCTGCACTTGGTCGGAGTTACTCTCCTGGACACGAACAAGCACCACGGCAGCTCCTTCAAGACCGAGACTTTGCGTGACAAATAATATGCAATTTTTAGTTGTTAAATTATCATTGTTTATACGTGATCATCATAAAAGAAGAAGAGTAGTTCGCAGATTAGGAGTTGAACGAGAAAAAATAATAATCAAATCGCTTGGACATGTCGACTGTTCAAAGAAATTAGCACGAATGAGAAGTAATAAGCTTGGAGCAACATTGATTGAATAAAAGTTCAAAAAAAAAAAAAAAACATAGATTGAATAATCCAAAAAATACAATACAACAAAACGATCTCAAGTATTATTATACAGGTTTTAAAAACCTGCTTGATAACACAGCAGGTTTTGAGAACCGAGCAGAACATCTGCTTTCAATGCAAAAGAAAAGTCTGAAAGCTAAATCGGTAAACAACAGAGACAAACAAAGACACAGAACAACATCGATCCTCCACATCAGTTTGGTGCCGTATTTGTCCAGAAGCTTAGCATGCAAGTCACCAATGTATGTTGATTTGGCCGTCTCGTTGATTAGGTCATCGTCTTCCACTTTCTCCTTCATAAGGTGGCCAGTTATTTTGACTATTTCACCGTCTATTACCAGGAAGAATGGCTGATTCCCGCCCCTCCGAGCCTGTGAAGATCCCACCAAAAGCAAGACGAGGAAGAAGTAGAAGAAGCTAAATTTTCCAAATCGAGTTGACATTACTTGTGGGAGGAGGTAAAGTTTATTAAAAGTTTGATTTACTGAGACAGATATCACATGGGTACGTTGTTTATATAATAAGATACATTGTAATTTCCCTTTTTCTATTAGGAATATGTTTTTAAAGTTTAAACCTAAGCACACACACAACAAAGGAATATGCAATATTTTTTGCAATATTTTTTGGTTTGAGATAGGACAATATATTTACGCTCGGGTTATCGCAAACTTTCTCTCTCTCTCTAGACAAGAATTAGGTCAAAAGGACAAACACAAGATTAGAAAAGTCATTCCTCCCAAACCAACTTGAATATATTCTTACTAGCTGTTGCACAGATCACATTGTCGCTTCGGTTCCTCAACATCTCTTCTTGCGCTGAGACATCCCCTTCCTTAAAAAAACATAGTGGAGAGATTGATTCATTGTAATTTAACAAGATTTTGAGATCTCAGGCAAAAGGCAAAATAAAAGAGGCTTACTAGGTGAGAATAGGCAGAAGCAAGAGACAAAAGTGTTGGGTACATATCAAGAACCGCTATGGCAATTTCCTCTGTTACTTCCGGGACCTGCACTTCTCAATCGAACTGGGATTCTCATAACCGTTCACATCTACGTACCGGAAAAAAAGACCTAAATAAGACAATCAGTACCTGCATAAGCTGAATGGCAAACATATCGCTGATTGTCATTTTATCGAGGTCTTGACACCTTTTCACAAAACTATCAAAAGAAGGACACGAGGCCGAGACTTTGCTCTGTTCATCATCACTCACACGCGACTTGTAGTACTGCTGTATTGATTTAGTGAGATTACCGTACTTTCTTAGCGTCTCACCAAGCCCGTTTGTCCTCAGCACATCAAATCCCTCCAGAACCTCCGTCGTGCAACAACTAGAAGCATATATATATAGATGAGTAATAATAAGTTTGGTTCCAAATCAAATCTATAATCTTCTGAATTAAAAATAAAAAGAATGAATTTCTTACGCCGTTTTAATGCTTTCAGCTGCATCAGACTGGTTTGGATCCCCTTCAAGAATGTATATCAGCTTCTTGAGTCCCGATTTCTACTTAGAATAGCAATTTAAGAAGAAAATGAGCGAAAAGATGGAGCAAGTCGAAAACTTAGGAGTTGAGAGAACACACACACAGACACACCTGAAGTCTAAGTTTCTGGTCCCTGTAACGATTATCTATGAACGACGAGCGTAAATCATCAACGTTCTTCCTCTCAACAATAAAGTCCAGAACATATTCAGTCTCATGGCACTTGTGCCGAGCAATCCAGATACAATCTCCTACTGGTAATCTTCTAACCTATAGATTCAGTTACCATTTTTCCAGTTAATTTGTGTGATTTTGGAATCTCAATGACATATATCCATGAAAACATAATGCAAACCTCAATCTTGATCTTGAAATTAGAACGTATGTATTCAACTTTTTTCCTGGATCACGTGAATAAGAAGAAGATATGGATTAGTGTCATCATACATTCATAACTAAACCATAAGAATACTCAAAAGAGAGATAGAGGTGAAGATTAAATGTTCCACGAACCCCTTAGTGACAAACTGTTCTCGATCGTCCAGTATCATGATCACCTCATATGCTTCCTCAAACGTTTCTCCAGATGTAAGAGGAGGAAGGCGTCGAACAGTTGTAATTCCTCTGATTCCATCTGAAGCTAACTGTGTAAACCATGAAACAATATAGAACAAATAATAATGCTTATTAGCAATCCACTTGCTCCTGGTCATAAAAGATATAGCTAACAATCTACTGAACGCAAATAGTTGCATACAGAAGATGGGCAGGCTTTCCACGCATGACTCGAACTGGATGAACGTGGATTTGAGCTGTATCCATCATTGCAAGAGCGGAACTTCTCAGCATGAGGTCCCTCAAGATCAATGTGACCTGTATATAGCCAAGACTTTGTGAGATGGAACATCCAGCTTTTAACAGATACAACAGTAAGGATATATTAGATCACATGCTAGCAAAAAGACCATACAAGTTTGTGCTCTAGAAGAAGGTCCTGCTGAATCTGCCTTAGGTTTTGGATCAGCATATGGCTGTGCGAGATCCATTTCATCATCGGATATGTCAACTTGACCTGTAAAATTTGTAGCTAAGACTTAGTAAGATGGAACATCCAACTTTTATCACACACACAGAAGTAAGGATGTCAGATGATATGCTTGCTAAAGAACATACAAGTTTGTTCTCTAGAAGAAGGTCCCGATGAATCTGCTTTGGATTTTGGAACGGCATATGGTTGTGCAAGATCCATTTCATCATCGGATAAGATGTCTGTAAAATTGTAGCTAAGAGTTAGTAAAATGGAACATCCAACTTTCAACAGAAACACAGCGGTAAGGATATCAGATCATATGCTGGCTAAAGAGTAAAAACCATACAAGTTTGTGCTCTAGAAGGCCCTGATGAATCTGCCTTAGACTTAGGATCGGCATATGGCTGTGCAAGATCCATTTCATCATCGGATAAGGTGTCAGGAGGTGAACTCGATAATCCAGATCGCATAATGCATTCTTCTGCTACTTCCCGACCTTCGACTGTCACCATGTACCTAAGAAAACAAACAACACTCATTCTATGTCTCAAGGTAAGGACTACTTGCCTACACATAATACACAAGGCAGAGTTTTTACTTTGCTGGGTTGCTCATGGAAGCCACTAGTCCCTTCTGTATAAGTGTTGTCATGGAGCTCCATCCGCTATACCACTCCCTCTTAGAGTTTCCAAGTCCTGCTTTCCCTTTTCCTTTCTCTGGCCTACTCACATGAATAGACGAATAATTCAGAAAGCAATGATTTAGGTACAGAATCAACAGTTTTTGAGACTGGGAAAAATGATTGATTCATACGCAATAGGAACGTGTGAGAGCCCACTTGCGTCAGTAGCATCAATAAGTTCTTGTTTACGCATGAAATCTTTCTTGTTCGGAGCCCCTCTGGTAAATAAAAGACATAAAGGTCCTGAGTTCACTTAAAGAGTACATATGCGAGGGAAATAAACTGTGAAATAACCTGTGCAGCGTTATTAGTAATCCGCCGCAGAGTTTCTACGCGGAATGTACCGTTTTACTCCCTTATCCGCTTTCCCTGAAGATAATACAACTCACATCACATATAAAATAACCATTACATTGATTATCAATGTGAAGACCAAGTGTGATAATACAACTCACATCACATATAAAATAACCATTACCAGCAGGATTTGGCGAATCTTCTTGCTCAGAATTTGCAGCCTCAGCATCAAAGTATCCTTTCACGAGCTTAAGCATCCACTTGCCGAAACCCCTTAATGTAACAAATCCAGCAAAAATATCAAGAAACATACACTTGTGTGAATACAAGCAAAGCCACCCAAGAACTAGAACCACTCACTATCAGATCTGTTTTGCACTTTAAGAAACTAAAATGGATATAAACAAACACTTTCCCCTTAAAGAAAGAGAAACACTTTGATATTCTCCGCTTTCACAACTACCAGAAACAAACAGATTCTCTGATTCTCGAAAAGGCTCAATCTTTATGAATTCAACCGTCAGATAAAACAAACACAAACCCTTAGCTAGAACCTAAATATACATTGTGAGAATTTTGAACTAGAAACACAAAAAGGTCACAGCTTTTCCATAAGAAAAAAAAAACTGAAAAAGGCAGCTCAAAGAAGAAACGATGAACCCAGTAAACCCAAAACCCAGCAAGAACAGTAGAAAACCTAGGAAACGACATTTTCCCTAAGCCAAAATTCCACAGAGAAAAGGAGAAGAAAGAAGAAAGGGAAGAAACATACTTGATCTGCGACAAGTCTTTGAGTGTGCTAATGGGATCCTTGGCGTCGCAGACATTTCTATGCGCCTTACCAAATGTCCTCTCCAGGTTTTCGGACAAACCCTTGGGCTTGTCTGCGTATTCGCGCTTCTTCTGCAACACATAATCCGCTAAACCTTGGTTCGCTCGACACCGTACCCTTCTCTCGTCGTCACCCATCACTACTCGCTCCAAAGAGCCTCAATTTATCAAAACGACCTCCAAATTCTTTGATGTATTGCAGATATTCGTTACCGGAAAAGAAGTAAAATGGTGGGAAATTATCACAAAGGATTGATCTTTCGTTTGCCGGAGAAGTAGAATAATGCTTTTAGTTTTAGGCGTATTCTTGAGAAATTCAAAAAGTTGGGGATCCGACCAAACTGGGTCGGGTCAATGACGTCATGACGTGACGATTCAATAGCCTCCGTCTGTCTACAGTCCTATCTCTAGAGTCTAAAAAACTTAGCTAAAATGATACTACTGATTACTATCATTACTACGACAGTCTAGATTAATAATTAGAGATTAATTATATAGGTGACTCTGGTTTTCTACTAATCAAAGTTATAAGCAGTTAAAAGAAAATTAAGCTAAGTTCGAGGAAAAAATAAATTAAGCCAAGTTCGAGGAAAAAATAAATTCAGCAAAAAAAGAGGAAAGAGCACGAAAATGTAAAAACAGAAAGGATCTTTTAGTAATTAAAGAAATATACATGAGTGGGGGAAGGTTTTAAGCCATGCATTGGCTGCCATGAAGTTGTGTAGTTACGAGAAAAAATTTATCAGAATGTCACAGAAAATTTGAAGACTTTTGTCACATGAAACCAGTAGGAAAAGATATATACAAAAGACAGAAAATACTCACATGCTAAGTTCTAACACAAACCCAAAACCCCCATAAGCCACTACTATATAAACGATATAAGCCCTTTAAACAACTTCTCTTCAAACAAAGCTCAAAGCCACACTCACTAGATTCTTACTAAAATGGCGATAGGTTGTCGTGTTTTGATCGGTCTAACAATGATCCTCATAATCTCGGGAACACTAGGGGAAGGAACGTGCCAAGGAGACATCGAGGGTCTGATGAGGGAATGTGCGGTCTACGTCCAGCGTCCAGGCCCGAAGGTAAACCCGTCCGCAGGGTGTTGCAGAATCGTGAAGAGATCAGACATACCTTGTGCATGTGGCCGTGTCACAGCCTCGGTCCAGAAAATGATAGACATGGATAAGGTCGTTCATGTCACTGCCTTTTGTGGGAAGCCTCTCGCTCATGGTACCAAGTGTGGAAGTAAGTCTTTTTATGGTAAAGATCAGTTTCATTCTTTAATCTTATAAAAGATTTTTAAAGGGTTTAAAAGAAGGATAATTTTTTTCATTTATACAGAAACAAAAATTTCGTTCGTAACACCAAGATCCTACCTAATGTGTTGATGTTCCTTATTCGGCAGGTTACGTTGTGCCATGAGATTTGGGACCAGAACTTAAGAGCTCAGGGCTTGTGGAATTGTATGTGAGCGTAGCTTTACTACTCCACAGTAAAATTAATCCTTTGTAATCTCTAATATATTGAATGAAATAAAATATGTCTTCCTTGTTAAGAATCTTTCAAGAGGAAACTATCGATGGAGATAACCGGATCCCCAGACCAGTTTATATAATCGCCACAACTTGATTGATTTTGGTTCCTCCATGTTCAAGAAGCAAAGTAAAAGAATGAGTAAGATACAATAATAACGTCTCCTAAAAATCACTTAATATAACGGATCACACTGATCACAGTTTAGTTTGTACACTTTGCTGTACACTCAAAGAACAAAAATAACACCCAATCCTCAATTCTGAAAAAACAAAAAAAAAAGAAAGAAATACAAAGTCTATTCGTTTTAATAAAACCACTCAAAAGATAAAAAATTTCCTTTTGCAACCAAATTTCCTCAATTTGATCGCAAAATAACCCCAAGAATAAATAAATCAAAGACTCAAGGCCAAAACCTGTGACCTGAAGAAGAAACAATCCGAAAGTATATGAAAATAAATATCGAAGCAAAAAAAATCTAACCTCAGCCCATCAAACTAATAATAAAAACAAAATGGAGATAGAAACAACCAAACAGATGATGAAAACAGAGAAGAGAGATTTGAAGGATAAGGAGGAAGTAGGAAAATTAGAGAAAAAGAAAACTGCTCTGGGTTGTTTTTCTTAAACAAGCCATGAAAAATGTTATTAAGCTTCTCATGGGGAGCAGAAACAGCTTAAAATGCACTGACACTGTCCCTTGAATCTTCTCCTTTTGTAGCTGAAACAGAAACAAAAAAACACAAATTTCACCATTTTTTTTCTCAGTCGAAAAGGACAGATTTTTATGTTCGGTTCGCAACTGTGTGCGTATGTGTTACCGGCTTTTGATGGAGAAGAAGAAGGATTATTTCTCAGAAGAGCTGAACAGCCATCTTGAATTTGTTCTGTTTCCATTTAGGCAGCTTGTAGAATGCTTCTTTTGTCATACCAAATTTCTCTTTGAACTCCTCTGATGAAAGGTAAGCCTATAACAGAGACCAAGAACTGTCAAGATCTTCCTTCATCGAAAATATTCTCACTTACAAAGGGAACTCGTTTTTTTTTTTTTTTTGAACTTACCTCTCTCCTTGTTACATCAATGTCTGTGACAGGATCAGCGGAAGTTGTCTTGAGACGTTCGTATGGGTGAGCTGGTAAATCTTCTTCGTCTTCGACTCCTTCTTTAGCATCTTCTTGAATCGTCAGAGATTCTATACGGCTGCTCATCGATTTCTCCTCCTCCTTGTCATTTTCCTTTTTCTCTTCTTTTGAGTTGGATTCCGGCGCCGGAGACTCAGGTGCCTTCGGGCTCGCTTCATGCACAATAAAGTTCAAAAGGTCAATACTCAAAAGTGAAAAAAGAGAGGTGAATCTCTAAACCAAGATACTATAATAATGAAACTTTGCGATGATCAATCTGCAAAACTGTGAACCACTAATAAACATAGACACTTTCAGATAAATTCACTAAGCGAAATTGTTTACCTTTGAGTGGTTTTGGAATTGAAGGTTCTTGGGGAGATGTTTTTGATTGTTGTTCGAAAAGGGCACTACGAGAAGCAATGGCTGAAGACTTGGGAGCAAGCTTTGAGGAATCAGGAGTAACAGATCTCGGGTAGAGTTTCCTAACTACAGGGGGAGGAGTTGAGAGGTTTCTTGCATTTTGGCTCTCAAATGTTGCTGCGAGTGCATTGAACGCTGGAGATCTCCCCCTCACTCGAACCCTGTCTGGACTAAACGACATACTTCTTGAACGCTGCTGCGACTTGTCTGGAACGCTGGCACGGCCACCATATGAAGCTGGAGTTCTTCGTTTTGGTTTCTAATCATTCGAAGGCACAACAGAAGAACCAAAAATTAAAAACCATACACTAAAGAATCATCAACCAAAAGCAAACAGCATGAAGAGTCTTTACATCTGCAACTGGAGTTCCACCATTTTTGACAATTCTGAGTTTTCTTTGGAATGAGTTTCCATGCATCTGCAAACAAACAAAAAGGAGTGTTTCTTTGTCAGGGTTTCCTTCTTTGAGAATTTCTCGGGGATGCCAATTGGAAGTGTTTGGTACTTACAGCAGATTTTGATGAATCCCAAGAAGTGAAAAAACGGGTGAAGAAACTTGGCTCACCACCTTCCATGATCACATATATAGGGGCTTCAGGTGATAACTTTTCCAGGAGAGAATCTTTCTTGATGAATTTCTAAGGAAACAAAACAGATATAATGAGCAACTTGCTTAAAAAATTTCAGGACCTCTTGAGACTAACTCTCTCAAGAGTTTAAGGTATGGTTTTGTTTGCAATGTGTCTAAATAAATCTGACCTCTCCGATAGATAAAGCTAGCAACTTGTTCTTTGGGACTACTTCTTGGCCAACCCATACAAAGATCTCTGAGTGACAGTCTACGATAAATATATCTTCGGTCATCAAGTCATCCTGTGTGAAGTTATATATCTCTGTCACCTGCCAAGAAATCACAAAAGGACCAAAAAAGCTTGGGATTGAGCCACATGCTAAAGCATTTTCCGATTATGATTGCAAATCTTTAGAAAGAAATAAGATTTCGAAAGTTTACGCACCTTCAGAATTTCTGGATTAATTTGCATTTCAGCAATGAAAAGAAAAAGAAACAGAGTCATTGTGTGCATATATCATCTTAGGCTTAAACTTTCATGAAAAAACAAATTATATGATCTTCTGTACCTTTTGTGAAAGTGCAGGAGAACAAGTGAGGGTCACTCTCAGGTTCTTTTGTGAGCTTTTGGCTCAGATATTCGGCTTTGCCTCCTAATAACTCCCAGAACTGTTCTGATTCTGAACCTTCCTTTTGTGCTCTAGTCTGTAGGTTTGGCTGAACAAAGAAAAACATAGCAGATGCTGCTTCAGCTACATTTAAACATATTTACGACTCTTGCATTTGATCTTTACTAATTATGATTGAAACATAATTGACTTATCTTTACAGCAATTAAGAATACCTTGATAAGATCGAGCTGCCTCTCGACGAGTTCCTGGTCAGTTGAGGTTGCTAGATTCCCAGTCCAAGTAAAGACAGAAGAATCATTATGTAGTATGTAACAGTATGAGGAGTTCAGTGATGTAGCAACCTGTTGAATGAAATCAACAAGATATTAGAAGCCATGAAGATGTATGAGCCAAATGTATTTAAACAACGAGGAATACGAAAATGACATATACCGGGTCAACTTGTATTGCTTGCATATTTTCCGGACCAGACCCTTGAATGCGGAATAGAGCAAGACCATTCTCACTGTATGTATCATCATCGACTTCTTTCTCTGCTATGTATTTCTTGTATCCAGTGCTAATACCACCCTGTAAAGATTCAACAGGTCGTTTCTATATTCAAAAACGAGAACATGGATGATAAAACAAAAAACTGCAGAATGAAACTATTTTCTCCAAACCTTGAAAACGATAAAGCTTTGCATAATAACGAAGAACTGAACTGGTTCCTTTCCTTCATAGATGCGAGCCTAAAGACAGGAGAATGAGAATTTTCAGGAAAAAACATACAAAATCCAACAACATAGACTTTTGAAATGAGTAAAAAACATTAACGAGTGCAGATGAATATTTACTTGAGCTGGTACAAATTTCATTGACTCAACCATTTTGCTCGCCATTGAAACTGCAGAAGCTTTTTCTTCCTACACCAAACAGACAATTTTAAGATATTGCAGCAACAGTTGCAAGTACATAATCAACCACATCCTTGTTTGAAAGCTTACCTCCACGCTTCGCTTGCCAAACCACGTTCCTATAAGAACTTCTTCTTTTTCTTCTCCGGGATAAGAATATTGGAAAACATAGCAATCTCCACTGTAGAATTTCGAATGATCAGCGGCTTGAAGGAGAGTCTTTTCCTGACCATTCACACGCCAAACCTGCAGGTTTCCGGTGCAATCAATGAAAGCTTGAGGCTCTTCTTTTGGCGGAGCAGCTTTCATCAGGCCTCTCACGTTTACTCCTTGTCGTTGCAAAAGTGCTGCAAATCAAACAAATCACACACAAACATAACCGATCACATTTCAGATGCTTGTCAAGTATTATAAAATCATCATTATCTAATGTTTGTATTCAAATATACGAACCAGCAACTCTGCCTCTACCATCCTCTGACACGGTCGTATTAGTTTCTTGAGTCCAGGTATCAAACTTTGATCGGAATGGCACAGTTTCAAACCCTTCAATTATGCGGATCAATTGTGATTTGGGACGTTCAGATGAACGGATCATTTCCTGTATGATTCTTATAACATCAGCAAGCCTTATGGTAAACAACGAAAAAAAACATTTTAAGACTTTCTTTTGAGTTTTGATTCTATAAAAAACTTACTTCTGCTGCTCCACTCGCAACTTTTCTATCATCAAGAGAAGTGGTTCTTCCCATCCAAACAAACACTTCGATTCCACAATCAAGAATGTAACACTTGTTTGTATCCAGCATTTCCCTCTTCAACGAGTCACCTTCAACGGGATTTGCCTGTCCTTTCTCCACACTTCAATTTTTAGAAAAGAAAATTGCGTTCAGTTGAAGCATTATGGGCTCAAAATATATGAATTACAACAAGAAGATACAATATTACCAATATAGCTTTGTGATATCGGAACTGTAAGTTTTGTCTTCGTCATTAGCTGTTTTTCTAGGAAGCGGAGCGAACCCACCAAAGAAACCCCAAAATTCTCCACTTTCAGCATCAGCCATAAGTTTCCCATCCTCTGCAAATGCAACATATGCAATTAGAGACCAAAGCAAAAAAAAAAGATAATAAAGATACTAATCACTAATGAAACCGCTTGGCTCACTAACCAACTGTAGCAACTTCACATGTGCCATCATGGTAAGTATCTTTGATGTACTGAACCACTTCCAATGCTTTTGCTCTCTCTTGGATACTTGAATTTGATCCATTAAATTGAAAAATCTTGGACTTTGTGTCGAGAATGTAAATGTCGTCATGGTTTAAAGAACTCCGAGCAAACGGAACCTGGAAACAATTTAGACCATCAGTGTGTGACCACGACGTGAGATGAAAATATAACGAATAAAAGAACAAAAAGCCAAAGTCTGACTTGCCTCTTTGACATGGACAACATGTTTTCCTCTGCAGACGAACAAACGAGTAATATGTTCTTCAGCTTCCACATGTTTGAATCCTGATGCTACTCCACCTTCTTGAGGTATGATACATGGCTTAAAATAAGACAAGAATTTCTCGGTCTCGTGGCCTTGAACTTCCCGATACTGAACTGCACGACCTCCAAGGGCAGCATCTAATTCAACTGTTTTAACTGCAGCAGTCCCGGCTTCATCCTAATTCATTTTACAAAATTACTATCTTCTCTCAGACTTTCCCATCATTCTACTAAATGAGAGAAGGATAAAGGATATGTTATAAACGGAGCTTACCTGAGAGGTATCTTTGCCAAGCCAGTAATGGATATCATGGCGCAATGCACCAGTTTTTAACGCCGTTGTCTGGTCACAAAAGATGGATAGTACAATTTAAAATGGCAATAGGGAAACAACAAGAACAACAAAAAGAGTTGTTACTAGGCCTTAGTTACCTTCAACACTATGTAAGAATCTCCGGTAAAAAACTTCCCAATAGAAGACTTTGGAATGGGTGCAGGGCGGAAATTCTCTATACGCCATACCTCAATACCACTAAATTAACCGTCAAGGAGAATGTCATGTAGAGATTAAAAAAAAAAAAACACTAACCGAAATGAATTTAAATTGAAGGACATAATAAGACTGAGTAAGAGATTCTAAATTGAAGGATACGCTTTCTGTCCAGCTCCTTGGAACGCTGGATCCAAATCTCTCATGGATACAGACATACTTAAGCAGTCTTCTTTACCACTCTCTCCAACTTATGAACACCGCAACGATAGAGAACACTAATAACCTAAGAGGCAACACCAACTAAGAGTCAAAACTCAAGAATCAACAAAATGAAAACCAATTCTAAATTAAACCAACAACACGTTTCATCGCAGACAAGGCATTACAACACAACCATTAGCAATGGAACAAAGGTTATATGCATAGAAGGAACAAAAAGAAACAAAGTTGTCTCATCACTTGAAATGAGTATACAACTCAGAATCCAAACCGGTCAACATCATCTCAAGTCAATTTCAGTCAAAATGCAAAAATGAAAACAACAAAAAAAACCTCTGAAATTTATGTTACATTGGAAGTAGGGTTTATGTAATTTTCAATTCCCCAGACAAACAATAAAACCAAGGCAAAACCCAGAAATTCGAGAAAAGAAAAAAAAAGGAAGAACATTTCCATCCAAACATCATCATATCTCACAAAACCCAACATTTCTATCATCATCACAAAACCCCAGGTAAAGCTCAAGGATTTATACTCTTCTACAAATCTAATTCAATAGTTAAACTAAAATTTTGCCTTTACCAATCAGTAACTACAGGGAAATTACAGATATCATATACTCTTAATCAGATCAATGGAACTATTACACATAAGCTAATCGGTAGATAAATCCACTACAAAACCCAGAAACTGGAAAATTCTCGGAGGAAAATAAAACATCGAATATACACGTTACAGTATGTACCTATATAAATCTGCTATTCAGCTCCAAGCCCAGATCCAATCTGATGGGAAAATATTGCAAAGATACAAAATTTTAGTCAAAGTTCTTTCCTTTCCCTGGGAGACGAAGCAAAAGATGAGCAGAAGCAGGGGAAAAAGTGAGAGAGAGAGAAGAAGAAATGAGAGAATTGAATTGAAAGCTTTATTTAGAGAGAGAAGCTGATAAACAATTGAAGTCTTAGACAGAGAGAGGAGAAAAAGGTAAAGAGAGAGAACAATTTTCAGAGAGAGAAAGGTTGGAGGGAATGATGAGAAGCCAGGCGTGCTTATCACTAACCCACAAGACAACCATGAACTGTAAAATCTTTTGATTCTTCTTCAATTATAACACAGCCCCAAAAAAATACAGAGAAGTCAACAAAAAAAAAAAAACCTTTGGAGAAAATCGTTCCTTTTTTCCAGAAAACCAAACAAACAAAAATCCAAACTTTTTACGGTTTTTGGTTGGTGATTTATGTCGTTACCACTTCTGGGTTTCTTACCATGTCAAACAGTAATGAACGGAGATTTGTCGCAAACATAAAATCTAATTTTTTAATCCATCAATATTTAGCTACATACACGCTTCAGGTTTAGAACAACAATGTCATGAAATTAAAAATCTTTTTGCTTCTTAAACTCTATAGTGATATGTAATTAAATTCACAATTAATTTGGTCACATCTCTTTTTTTATTTAATTTGTTTTCTTTACAGGTAAGAAATTTGGTTATTCCCATAAAGTCAAAACTTTTTCATTAACTTTTTTTATGCTCTTGTTGCCGTTACTGAACTATGGAGTCCCAAACAATTAAGGCTTTAAACGTAATTATTAGTTTCATAACATCAGAACAGTTAATTAAAGAAAAAAATTGCAGAAAAAAAAAATGAAGAACAAACACAAGGTACTATTACCTTTAACTTTAAGGCTGTTTGTCATACTTTCTTTCTCTCTTTCTCTCGTCAGTTTTGGTTAACAAATAATTTCGAGTTTTTTTAGATGATTGATTAGAAAAAAAGTCTCATGAATTAAATAGCTTCCTTGGGTGATCAAATTAGACCAATCTTTAATGACCGAAAAATAGACCAAATTCTATTCATATCATTAAATCGATCCTTTGAACAAAAAAAAAAAAATCATTAAATCGATCTTAGACAAGTGGACCGTGGTTTAGTACTTTTGGCTTTGGGGTGTTCAATATGAGTTTTACTTTGTTGGTTTTTTCTATCTTACAAAATAATATACTTATAACATATTTATAAAAAAAAATTGAATATTTAGAATTATCACAAATATATATATAAAGATTTACTTTTAAAGCTATTTCTACTATATATATTGTTTATTTCTATCCAATTTTGCTCAATCTAGTTTAATTTGTTTACATTCTCAAATCTCATTCAATTTTTTTTTGCCAGGCTCAAAACATTAGTCTTCATTTAAGAAAACGGAAATATCAACTTTTATTAAGGTACGCAGTAATAATCAAGTAAAAAATGAATTTGATATAAATTAGTTCGATTTGAATTTGTAATTGCTGTGTTTAAAACAAAATGCAAGAAAGAAATAGACAGACCGAGAACACAGGAATATTCTTTTTCAGAAATAAGGACCATTTTATCTAGATTTTATGTGTTTCGTATAATTTTGTACTTTTGTTAAACACATTTTTTTAGCTGCTTCTTACCTCAAATCGTGACTATACGTGCGTTACTTGTAATCCGGCCAAGTTTAAATATAAACCAAAGATGCTCTTAATTTACTTGGTCTTTCTTTTGATGTTAAAATTATTCTTTCAGATGACGATTTTAATATGCAACTAGAAGAAAAGTGTTGTTAATGACAAAAAAAAATTATGATGCATTTCAGTATTTCACTAAAATCTGTAATATAAGATTTTGGGGTTTAAAAAGTTATTAAAACCGGAATGGTTTGCATTTTTTGCAATTAAAAGTTTACAGATATGACTAGCAAAATTTTTGACTTGTTAATTAGTCATGCATCTCTCTAAAATTCGAATACATGATATCAGTTTATCTAATACATGCTATACGTATTCGCAAGATGTAATTTTATATTACAAAAACTGTCGTATGACCACATTTTATGGACTCCGCAATTTTGAGCCAAAATTTCTCAAAGTTCCAATATAACAGATATTGGCCTAAGGCGCCCAACGATCTTAAATATGTAACTATAGTCTTTCTACTCTTTGGTGATACTTCTTTAATCATTATATAATTAACAACCTATGAAACCACTTTTATATATTATCTTTATAGAGCTTTTGCATAGTCATACATACAGCTGCAATCCGGAAAAATCTACTAATTAGCGTAGTCTAAATATTTGTTTAAAAGTGAGTTGCTATTAGACTGATGTTTTATAATGATTTCCTCGTATAGTATCGTTAAGCTTCTGAAGAAATGATTAGCTACATGCTAGAGCAATTATGGAATGACGATCGTCTTTTAGTTTTGTGATGTGATGAATTTCTTTGACTACATGTCCACAACTGTACAGAGATGATCATAAAAAGCCTAATTAAGTAATAAAGAAATTAGCATAAACTTTCGTTGCCAAGAAAACAAAACATTAGCATAACCTTTATCTTTTCTTGGAAGCGTTTATCATATGGGACCGAATGAACATAATATTTGTTATCTCTCTAGTCGCCTATAAAAATTATGGGTCTAACTGGTATGTCAGATGAATAACAGAATAGCGGAATAACTGAAAATTTACTAGCGGAATGAACTGAACTGAATAATATTTTAGCTGAATAATTGTGAAACGCTGAAAAGCTACTTTTAGTAGATTAATCACGTTTTGTTTTTTTAGTTATATTTTTAACACACCAGCGGAATCACGTTTCAAAAACATAAAAAAACGTGAAAACGTGATAAATAACATAAATAGTAAAAAATAACAGTATCAAGTTTTCAAAATGTAAAAACGTGAAAAACTGCATACCATTCAAACCCTATACATATTTAAAATTTGCATTTCTTCTCTTTTTTTGTGTGGTCAAATGTTAAATCTTTACAAATGCATTTGGTTATATCATGCGGAGAAATTGACTTTTTCTTTCTTTGGTTGGAGTATAAATGTTTTATTTCTTCCAGGAAATGTATACATCAAACTAATTCGGTCTATTCAGATAATAATTGATAAAATATTAAAAACCGACCATAGTAAAGTACACTTTCGGCTCCAATAGATATGATTCGACTAAAAGGACAATGACTTTCATCTTCTTTTATTCACAACGCCTGCCACAAATATATTAATGAATTTAGCAGCCGGCACCTTGAAAAATGGTAGTTGAAGCCGCCGTGGAACGGCTGAGATACGGTGGTCTATTTGGTTTGACAATCATCGGGCAATTTCTTTCTAACTTTTTTTTAACTATAATAATTTTAACTTCCAAGCAAGAAGTGTGGTTGATTAGTGGCAGACAAGAATCAAAATATATTTTTCTATAGTTTGTGTAACTCATGTCTTTAACAACCAATTACTATTCTCTTACCACCAACTTTACAACTTCAACAAATGACCAAATCCCGTTATAATAAAACTCTTGTGGCGTATCTAAGGAACTTACCACAACACTAATTGTGATTATCTAGACTTTTCCTCCGTACTTGAAGTTCAACTTGTAGTCTTGTTGCAGAGTTGCTAGAGAGTTTCTGCAAGGACCTTCTGCAGAAGAAACAAAGAACGGGGAAGGAGACCGAACAAAATAAGTTAAAACCCAATTCAAGAATAAGAAACTTGCAAGAACTGTTGGGACAAGTAGAAAAAGAAAAGGGTATTTACCACCAAATGCTGTATGAAGATATTGAAGATCGTGAGGTGAGCAAGAGTCTATAAGAGCATACACACCAGGCCTTAAAGCTTCGTCTACCTCCCTGCAAAATCAATAAATCAAGCCATATTCGGTTGCAGTTTATGGAGCCTGTCTGAAGAAAGATTCTTACGAGTTTCACGGAAAGGGAAATGAATGGAGACAGATATGAAAGTGAGGAGATGGTTACCTTTTGATACCCGTTTTAAGAGGACCGTACCCGGAAGAAACCCATATGTATGTTGACAAGAACTTGAAACAGTGCTGTCCAAAAACTTGCTTCTGCTGTCTTAGCTGCAATTCAGTTGTTTTAAAATGCAAAAAAAAAAAAAAAAAAAAAAAAATATGAGATGCACATAGTTGTAGAATCATAAAGCATCCGCTCTTAATTCCTCAAAAAGAAAGACTAAACTTAGTTGATAGCTTTTTGGACCACAAAATTGGCAAACAAAACAAGAAGAAGAAAGGGTGGATGCAGTGACATACCTCTTCATAGATTCTCCGGAGGAAACAAGCACATCTGATTCCCTCTTCCACTTCCCATGAAACACATTTACCGAAATTATTTCCTGCCGTCTCCAGACAATGAAGAAGCGCAGAAACAGATTCTTGCAGCGTAGCAATGGAGCCCTCAGTTTCACTAGATGTTGATGTATCACAGCAAGGACGAAATCAGAGACAGTTCTAAGATGGTAAATTCTAACAGGACTTTTTGTGTGAGCAAAAGAAAATTCTACTTACTTCTTATGATGCTTGACAGCAGTATATAATAGTCGGCAGCAAGCAGCATACAAGCTCACTGAGAATTTCTGGTCTACGTGGAGATCTTTAGATCTTCCTAACACATCTTGTTCCTGATCATCCTTACGTACCAAGTTTCCATCCAGAACCGAGGTTCCCACCCTTGTAATCTGAAGGTAATCTCGAAAAATTGCTCCGGGCATATGTACGGACCGTCCTACGTGCGATGAATCCATCTGAAACAATGCGTGTTTCCCTGCTATTCTTATCAAGACTTCGACACACATAAGAATGACTGACCCAGCATCTGGAGAATTGGGTCCAACAACTGCATTTGTGCAGAAAATAAATGGACTCTGCATGTGAGCCATGATTCCGAACACTGCCGACATTAATCCCTGAATGTGCCTTTTAACTACATTCAAACGTTTGCGACCTACAAAAAACAATTTCACTATTCAGTTAACCGGACAATAATGCTACCCTTCAGCAAACATACTAACAAATTGATTGATTTTTACAACAGTTTGATCTCTTTATTGTAAGTTCAGTACTACAACTATTAACATCAAGTATACTAAGTTGCCTATAGGAAAACAAACTGTTACCTGTGGCATGCTCCAGAATTAGGTCCAGACAGTCAATACCGGCAGCAGCGGTTTCAGAGATTCTGCCCCCATCTCTGTTTCCAGTCTGTATGCTGTAGATAGCTGGGCACACTTCCCACACTCCAACCAGTGCTCTTTCTATAGCCTGTACTCCCGACAGTAAGTGTAGCTCTGAGGAATTATGTATAAACACTATGAATGACATTCTAAGCCTCCCTTTTAGTTCATCCAACCAATGCAATCTTTCAAACCGGCTTTTTTCTGATAGCATTTTCTTAGCATGGATTACATTACTGTCAAATCCCGTCTCGTGGGATTCCAAGGTAGCATCTTTTCCTTGTAGCGATATGCATTTCCCAATCACCTTCAGGTGCAACTCAATCAGCTTTGAGTACAGATCTCTGTTTAGTGTAGGGTTAGATAAGCAGAAGTGGCTCCCTAATTCTTCCAGAACTTTCACTGCACCATCCAACCAAATAAATGAGGATTCGAGGGGTGCCTCGCTCATGCCTGCGAAGACAGATAGCAGATCATTTGAAATGTCTGTGAGAACAGAGATAAACGTAGGTGAGAAGGTAATGCCATCGATCTGCAGATTTAGCCGTAAAATAGAAGCAGAAGCAATTAGCAGATGTCTGAGTGCCAATACTACTTCCGACGAATCACCCTTTATGAAGCTCTCAATAATTTGTTTTTTCACATCTCTGCTACTCTCTACTACGTCACCACACACAACACCATTTGAAACCTCGGTCCCATCAAGCAATTTGGTCCAGTTTATATTGGTTTGGATTTCCCGCTGCACGTCACCACTAAGAAACAGACACTGCGCGAAAACCTCAAAAAAATTGCTAAGCACATGGATAATGCCGGAAAGCTTCGAAAACTGTTCTGATTTCCATCTCAGTTTTGTGTTCTGATGATTCTTCTGCATATCTCTGTGACTCACTGCAGATGCTAATCCCCACAACAACCCACTCAAACAAGAAAATATGGGTGCTAACTTGCTCAGTACCAGAGTCTCACATTCAAAGACTGTTTTCTCATCTCTGAAGGTTGCCCTCAAAGCATTGAGTAGAGTTTCTGCCTGTTCGGCCAAGCTCTCAAATATAAGGTTCGCTTGTCCATCAGACAGTGGTAGCGCCTTGCTGAATTGATATTTACTTACACTTAGAAACATATATGATGTGTGATCCATCAAAGAAAATAGGGCGTCTCTTGATTTTCCTGTAAACTCATTCCTAAATCTCTCTTGACAAGTTACCGCAGCTTGTGCTGATTTGAGAAGCCAAGAAGCCAACAACGAACTATCAGATAAAGGTAACTTGGTAGCTCCTAGCACCTTGTCGCAAGAAATCATAGCAATACTTTTCAAAGTTTTTCTGCAAGTGATGAACAGGCTGAAAAGGTTTTGCATATCACCCGGAGACAGCTTGTTCAAACATCTCAACATGCTAAAAACTGTAAACCTACAAGAGATATTGACAAAAGTAAGATTTGTTAAAATGTTTTCCAACAAAGTTAAGGATAACTGATACGCCTAATTGCAGCAAACATATAATGAAAGCATAAGCTATATACAATTAGTTACCTCTCAAGGTCAAGAACAAAACTTGCATAAAGTTGGAATGACTTCTTGTTCATATACTCCTTGGGCATACCACATAAAAGATTTAGCAAATTTTGACAAGTTGTGAACTTCCGATTGTCCAGGTGTGGCACATGTGCCTCTACAAAGGCTTCTGATTGAAGCTTTCCAGATAAGTTGGCAACTGAACTTTCAAGCAAGATTAACACCTCTGACCAATCTGGTGGTGAATCAAAGTTTACTTCTTCAGTAAAATCCTTGAAAAAAGATTCGGCCGTCGTTTTCAGTACGTGAGAGAAACTCGGCGCCAAATATCTGCGAACAAACTATTTGAAAAGTTCAAATGAATATCTGGATATATGAGTTTACAGAAACAAAGTAAAAAAAAAGAAATGGATGATTTTGCACAAAGAAAGATAACTTACTTCATGCTCATACAATACTGAATCACAAAGAAGTCCTAAGGAAAACTGTTCCAACCCTGTTTTCTTCTTCTGAGTGCCAAGAGTAGACATACCCACTCCGTTCAAAATACGAGGAACGGAACTTCCTATTAGCTGAGAGAGGAAACTCTTCAATTTCTTTTTTCCTGCATGGGGGCACCAAATATCAATATGCTGGCTAAGAACCCACAAACGCACAGCAGGCAAAGACTTCCAGTTGATGCCTGAAACACTGAGAACCCACTGATCAGTGTTATCTATCGTTTCAAAAGTTCCAACATCAGAAAATCCTTGTATGATGTTGTCGCCCAAGAGAAAATCAGTAAGCTCTTCTCCTTCACACTTAAGAACCGATAAATGCTGGAGCATTGTACCATGCATCTGATTGTCACTGATCTGTGACACATAATCAAGTGATTTTATGTGCCTGTTTAAATCAGCAAGTCTCTGAAGAGTGACACCATACAATATATATACCAGCAAGGAGCAATCTGCACTGTCATCCTTGAGGTAAATAGCTGAAATGTGTTTAATAATGTCAACGATAGAAGCTGAAGGTTGGCAGATCCATGAAAAATAGCCTTCATCATTCCAACTTTCCTCTTTTACCCAATCACCTCCGCAACGAGCTGCGACAGAGTCGCCCATAATGGCAGCCATCTCTTTTGATTTATTTGGAGGCATAAGACTAATCACCTGCCTATATAAGCTTCTGGATGACATGTAAATTCGTAAGAAGAAGACAATAAACAAGCGCGCAGACTTTCTGTAGGCCTCCCTATTCTTTTCAGCCATCATAATGTCCAAGCCCTTTCCGGTGACAGCAGAGAGGAAGTTTTCAATGCAATCTGAGTCTGAAGAAACCAGGTGGGTTAAGCAAGGACGGATGAGATCCACCAGATGATTCATGGACTGGCCAACAAGGCTACTATTCCCGGTTGTAATAGTTAGTGAGTCGAGTATAAGTGAATAGATATCAGACAAAGCTCCGGCCAAGAGTGCTGCTACCTGTCCATCTTGTTCTCTAGCAGTTGTTGAACAACTAACTCTTATCCAATCCATGGTTTCTGATACATCTGTAGTCAAGCTCTTGATACAACCACCTGCTTGGCCTTCTGGTATAACTTTAATAGCTCTATGTATAGCAAGTCTTAAATCCTGAGATGACAAAAGCTTTTCCACTGATTTGGCGCTTCTTTCTAAAAGAGAAACATTAGACCGTGGAAGCTCTTTGGTTTCGATCATCTTCCCATTATCACCATCAGGAGGTATCACAAGCCTTCCAGCTTTGCACAGAGCAAATACAACAACACTTACCTACATCATAAGGGAAAAATTAGTGTTGTTCAGATGGAGAATGAAAACATGACAGATTACCACTCAAAGGAATAGAATTTGACAAACCTGGCGGAGGTCACTATATAAATCTATCAACTGGCATCCAAGACCAAGTAACAATGAAGTCAACGAACAGTCGTCTTGTGCATTCTCTGATGAAAAGGTACTAAACCCCAGGAAAGAGAGAATGACTAACCACAAAGTAACTAAATCATTCTCAATAACTTCGTATTCAATTTGCAACAAGTAGCCTATCGCAGTTATTAGCTCCTTGGCTAATGAAACATGCATTGCTGACACTTCATCATATGTAGAATAATTTTGTAATTGAGAAGCAACTGAGACTATTGTTATGAAGATCTTCTTCAAGTAACAAAAGCAAGCTCCTCCAGATGCATCCTCTGTCTTCACATATATTCGCTGATGAGCAAAGTGGAACAGCAAACTATTTGCGGACTTCATAAAACAGCAGAAATCACCTAAGAGAGATGTCATTTCAGAGCCAGATTCAACATATCCATCGATCTTAAGCAATATAGGTTCTATAAGATGCAGGAAGAAATCAAAAAGTGATTTCCGTGTCTCCAGGCGCAGGGAAGTTGAGCAATGAGTCTTTGAAGAAGAAGACTCTTTATCATTTGTAGCGGCACCGTGCTGCTTCCATGGCCTTTCTTCTGCTTGCCCAGCAGTTAAGGCCTTTGTCGTCATGCCTTCCTGTAACTGATTTGAATCTCTCTGTTGTTTCATCACTCTGTCGATAAACAATCTATACAATGACCCCATACAGCTCAGCTCCAACTCCATCTTCATTAGTAACATGTTCTCGAACTTGGAAAAAAAATGCCGATGATAGCTTTTCAGAACAGTTTTGTTCGCTTTCGACTCTGGTAAATACCTTTCCGATCCACCTAGGCCTAAAAACCCATCAATATGTGCTGAATGAAACAGACCCAGAGATAATATGTCTTGAATCAACTTCGACAAGGATATTTCTAAACCGGAATTTCTGTGCTCGCTGAGATTCAATAAACCCAACACATCCAAGAAGGGAAGGAAAAGCTTGTCCAGAAAATCACTAAACCCATTCTTCTTAGTAGGATGAGTCATTAAGAACTTAGAGAATGGCTCAAGAACTAAGCAAGAGAATTTAAGGACAAATGCATCAGCTACGCTATCCTTGATATTCTCTGCAAGAACTTTATGTGTGAGCTTCAGGACAGGCTCCACAGTTGAAAACCACAGGTCTAAATTGTCATTGGACATCCCACTTTTGGACGAAAACATCAAGCCCACACAATCAACCACAGAACTGTAAACTTCAAAACCGTGACCATCCGAAGACAAGGGCGTGTTGAGTGCAGATAAAAGACTTTCCGCCAGAAAGCCTATAGCCTTTAGAAGGTGCCTAGACAAATTGAGAGAGACGTGCAAGACTGATGACTGATTCAAGCAGAACCTGAGGATCTCCCAGCATCTGAAGTCCAAACCTATATCGGCCTTAACTTGAAAGCTCTTCTCTTTTGAAACAAACAGTGACTGGATCCATTCACTGAGATAAATAATCAGCCGCGACATCTTAACCGCTTGATGTTCTTCATCGTCGTCAGTCACTTCTTCTCCTACATGTGCTTTCACAAAACTGAAAGCCAACTCCACCTTCCTGCAAATTCAAATTCACTTAATCATTAGAAAAAAAAAGGTATTTTTGATGTAATCCCCAATTCAATTACGCAACATGAAACACCAGAAACTAAGAAACTGAACTAGTAAAATCACAGCATTATGGTACTCTTGACATACGTGTTCCAAACTCATAAACTCGAACAAACTAAAACAGTAGCAAAGAAGCAGGAAGCGAGACTCACTCTTTGTCGCCCAATTCACTGCTCTGCAGCGACAGTATAAGCTCAAGGTTCTCCCATGGACGCTCTTGGGCAACAGTGCCCGTGACGATTTCCCCTTGATCAAAAGGTTTGGTTTTTACGACCTCTACCGGAGAATCGACACATTGTGTTTCAGGGTTCTTCTTCGTCTTCTTCGACGGTTTAGATTTCTTCGGATTAGTATGCTTCCTCTTCATCTTTCAAGTTTCTAAGGCTTGTGGATTCTCAGAATATTATGGATTGGGCGATATAGTGGGGACTGTATTAGAGGAGGAGACGACTGACTTTGAAAACCCAAAATGTCAAAAAACCCTACCGGTGACAGCCAATCGACGGCCAGCTAAAACCCTCGGCAGGTGGTGTGATTTCTTTTATTTTTTCCGCCGTTCTCTTTTTTTTTTCGTTAACATATTTGTGGGCCTATAAAGCCCAATCCAATAGTCATAGTAGCCTTACCTTATGTGTGTATCTGTGTGATACAGTGTCTAATTTGAAATTAAGGACACCACTAATGTTTAAATCTCTAAAAGCGTAATGTGTTTCATCTAGTGAATGTTTGAGTGTTAAATAGGGTTTCTGAATTTAATGTTTCTATTAATCGAATACTGTCATATGATTACTTTCACATTAGGCTAATACTGTTTTGGACAGTGAAAAGTCGTCATTACAAGTTGAGCACCGAACGTAATTAACATTACTTTTAATCATGTGAAATTGAGTGAGATACGTAGCTTAACTACTGTTCCACGTCTAATTCATGCACGTTGATGAGATTAACCCCTTTTAATTTCTTTGTTTCTTGTTAAGATGGCGTGGTCCCGAATAATTTTCCAAATTCTATTGTTTATTTATTAGATATATGTGGTTTGTGACCAATCGGATCCATATAAATTTACTGATATTCTAGGCGCTGGAGTGTATAAAGTAGGTGGCTCAATCATATAATACCTGGCTCAAACTCTTTCCTTAAATCTTTTAAATAATAGTCGATTATATTGTATTTAGAAAAAAACCCTTTTAATTGATTATTTAGATATTCTGTTTGTGACCAATCAAAACACACGACTATAAATGAGATATAGAAACAATATAAATATACAGTACTATAATACAAGTGACAAGTGGCAAGAAAAGTCCCTAGCAAAAATTGGGAAAGAGTATGCATGTCATATGTGGCATATTAGAATATACTACTAGTTATTATTATATATTTATACTAGATCAAAGAAAAACAGTTATTATTATATATTTATACTAGATCAAAGAAAAACAGTTACTATTATATAAGTATATATCGAGCTGGAAAGATGACAAAAAGGTGTGTTGCGAGAGAGAGAGAGGGGGTGATGGTAAAATCATTACCTGATTCCGTTGGGACTATAATCTTTTTTTTATTTCTTCTTCCACTCTCTTGTCTCTCTTAGAGCAGACAATAGCGCGTGGCTGCACGCGGTGTGTCTGATATTTTTTTGCCACGCCATCTTAACGAGAAATAATAACAAAGAAATCAAAAAGGGGTTAATCTTATCAAAAGCGCATGAATTAGACGTGGAACAGTAGATAAGCTACGTATCTCACTCTCAATTTCACATGATTAAAAGGAATGTTAATTACGTTCGGTGATCTGTCTACCATATAACTATTAGTATAAAACTTTTTATACATTTTTTTTAAAGTGTTACAAAACTTATTGGACATATGTGCTTTTGTTGTTGTCACGTGAGTGGGCTAACCAAAAAAAATAAAATAAAGCATATATCAATAAAAAGGAGCCATTCGATCTATCTATTTCAACAACACTATAAGAATATCAAAAGTTTTTTGCATGAAACCAAAGCACGTAAGAAATAGTATGCATGCGCACGTTCAGTGGCTCTCTCTAATGCGAGACGTATGATCATGATACCTAATCTTATACATGCGCATCCGTTTCAAAGGAAAGACATAGTATGCGCATCCGTTTTCGAATAAGGAAATAGTATGCGCAGGTTCAGTGTAGTTCTTCAGGTGGACACGTCACGCACGGCAAATAGTAGTCACGTTCAATTTAGCAATATTTTGAGCATATCAATGCTATATAAAAATTCGCATTAAAAAAAGAGTATGCATAAAGTTGCCAACAACAACAAAAAAAAATATAACTATTTTAATCCTCTAGAAAGTTGAAAGTACACTGATGTTGATATTGTGAAAAAGACACAATTACGCGAAAACGCTATATTGAGAATTTGAGATATACACATAAAACCATAATGAGAATTAAACGCCAGCCGTTGGATTATCATCATTGCTTCTACTGAGATGAACGGCTCGTAAATCTTTTGGTACTACCCCTAATGCTGCAGACCTAAAACACCTGCAGTGACCTTTATCGTTTAGCAAAGCAGGGCGTGACGTCACGTGGGGAAGGAAAGAGGGAGAGAAGAAAAGATCCAACGGTTTATATGATTCCTCTTCCTCCAAGCTATATCCAGTGGCTCTTATTAATTGGTTTTTATTGTATTTTTAAGGTAAAAACCGTGTATATATATAACCTGCAGACTGCAGTGACCTTTTCCATCACACACAATTGCTCTTCTCAGTCTTTTCATCAAACAATGCCTCGTAAATCGCTAAAAGTCGGCGTCGTTCTTGTAGCTGACAACGTTCATGTCCTTGCTACAGTCGCTACACGCGCGGTGCACGTCAGAAGGTGGATCAAGAGCCGCCGCTTCGTCATCCGGGTAGCCATGGAGAAACGGAGGAAGCTGTCCTTGGGGTGTGTCGCCTACTGGCGTGTCAACGAGTCCCAGGCCCACACGGTGGCGTCTCCTCCGTTTCCTCCGAAAAAACAAAGTAAGTATAATATCGTGTCTTGTATAGTTGTATATTTTCTATACGTATTTGCCTGTGATTTTTGGTTTGTTTTGTTTTTGTTTTGTTGAGTATCATAATATCGTTGATGCATTTGCCTATTTTTCTTCGTAAGACGAATTTAGTCCGGCTATCATTTAATTTATAAAAGCATATTACTGATAACCGATACTTATTCATTAGTTACAAAAATAGATAAATTAACCATATTTTGAATCTGTATTTAATTTTCATAAAACAAGAAATGCAAAAGTAAATATCCCATCGTCCTAGTTACGATAAAGATCCTTTTAAAATGTTATTTTCTTAATTTTCTGTTCGACGTCGGATGTTTAATTTTGTAAATGTAAATCACTACAACTTAATTAGTGATAAATCCATTAATGGTGAACAAGTCTTAGGTTTCAGTTTAAAACCTAGTTATAAAATTTTGAAGTTATCGGAAGAGTTCATCGAGAATACATAATATATAAATTACGAATGGTGCACCAGATCGATCGGTTCGTTGGTGCGGAAGTAGTTTACAAATTATTTTGTCAAACTTTGGAAAAGTAAACCGGTCTATTGTACACACATACATAAGTTGTTGTTTTATTTCTTTGAAAGCCTTGAAATTCATTGGTTCGTATGTTTTTCGTGGATTGGACTACCAGAACATGTAAATTGGTGCCCTTATTAGCATATCTCACGGATACTGTGTTGTTATTCTAATTCTTTTTGTTTTGTGAAATTACAGGTGTTAGCCCAGAATGTGCAGGCCCAAATGAGGAAGCTCAAGTATCTCAGGCCCGGTTTTCCACATCTCAGGGAGGTGAAGACAAAGTTCCAGGTGTGAACGCGACGTGGCAAAAACCAAACTTCCTGATGGCGACATCTCCGACTACGCCGTCGCTGTGGCAGCCACTGAAGCGTACGGCATCATACATTAAGTCTAAAATAATTATCTGTTTCGTACTTGATCTATTTTGGTATTTTGGAGGAACAATTTCATCTTTTAATAACTATTTCGTACTTTATCTATTTTGGTATTTTGGAGGAACAATTTTATGTTTTTAATAACTATCGGAATGATTATGTTTCTTTTGAGATTTACTGGTGAAGAATCCATAGCAAGTTCGGCTTATATATTGGTACTTCAAATATACATAAACTCTTCATATGTTGACAAAAAGAAGGATTAGACCAATAAATATTACTAAATAGTTAATAATCAAAATAATGTGGGAAGTTTTTATTTTGGTTGCTGTAAGATGGAATCAGTCCTTCACATGTGCCTTTGGATCTCCTCCTTCCTTGCCTTCTAATAGTTAATAATCTAATTTGATTTACTCAAATAGTCAAATATACTAATAGAAAGCTGTGAATGAGATTGATTTACTCAAATATACTAAGTTATATTTTCTTGTCATCTATTCTTATGAATCAACAATATTCAATTTTAAAACTACAGATTCACTTAATATAATATACTTTACACAACCTCATACTTTATGGTAAATTCCTACCACTAAGCTACATATGTAATGTATTGCTTTATTACATAAGCAAACGTCACTAGGATTTATATTTAAAATGTGTTACCTTTATTTTTGTTTACCATTAAGTTAACAACGTGTTACCTTTATTTATGTTTGGTTGGCAGTGAATTAGTGACATCATACTCCCGTCACCTTAAGAGGAAACATGATATGATTCTTGGGATCATACAAGAAGCTTTACAGCTGCAAACACCTTACCAATGGATTTGCAGCTCGTGTTTCCCCTGAGCAGGTGAGATCCGATTCGAGACAGCTCTGTTTCTCTACAGGTGAGCGCCGCTGGTTTCGCTCTTGTTGTCGAAAATGTTTCTCCGGGGACAAAATTCGATCATGTCCCTTCTTGCTTTCCGGGAACTCTGATTACAGATGTCTCCAAGTCAATGGTAATACAGTTTTCGATTCCTTCACTAAACAGTTGATTCACACCCCTTCATACTTTCCTCAACTTGTAATGTCTTTATCGCTTCCTAAGGATTTGACTGATTACTACAACTACAAGGTCACGACGTCAAGAGATTGGATGGGAAGAGTAAAGAGCTTTAAAGCCGAAGGAAGCATCGGAGACGGCTTAGAACCCATTCTGAAGTGGCTCTGTTCTCAGCTCGAGGACCCAACACTAAAGATTTCAGCTTTCAGGATGCTGATCTCCTCTTGCGCCAGGCTCCCTAATATGCTCCGCTTGGTCTGAAAATGGAACAGACGAGGCTAACTATATCCGTAAGCATTTCCTCAGAATTATCCATAAGTAACGCAAGAGAAAGCTAACTAAATGTTTAGTGTTCCCGACTGTTGAGCAGGTGAAGGATTTGCACTAATATCTGGCACACGCATGGCTGCACCATACATTGCTGGTATAGCTGCGCTGGTGAAACAGAAGCATCCTCCAGCTGCAATCAAATCAGCTTTGATGACGACTCCGGTGCTCGAATAGTCGCGGTAACGGAGGTAGTATTGAAGAAACTATACAGAAGGAATCAGAAGTAAGAGACTTGGACGAACGTTAATCAGTAATCCAAAAGATATACAACAGGAAGAATAACAAATTAAAACGATCTCGAGTGAATTAACAACATCGTACAAAGCGAAAAAAATACGCATCAAATTAGAGGTCATTGATCCGATCCATATCCATTCGGTACCTTATTTATTTTAGAAGCGTAGCATGCACGTAACCAAAGGCATTATCGTTGATTGGGTCATATACTCATATTCCTCAATTTGTTTATCATCTATTTGGAATTGTTACACGAGTGAAGATTAGAATAAGCATGCGACCCTCTCAAATCTCCCACCAAAAGAAGCATATGAACAATTATAAAACAAATTTGGAAGATGTTTTTTGACATGCGCCATCCCAAAACTGGGAAGATTTTGAGCGAGATTGTAACATCTCATTTCTCAGACGGCGCAGAGCTGTCGTCCATGGACGTGAAGAGCGTGTTTCTGAAGACTAAACCAGATGTTTTCTGCTTAGCCGTGATCCAGACAGTCAGAAAAGGAAAATAATAAGAAAAGTAAACAAGACTAACTTCTACATAGGAAATTTTATGTTTTTATTTTATTAATTTTAAAAAGGAAAAGAAAATAGTACTATCTTTTGAAAACATACAAGAATAAAAAATACTTCAACTAAAAAAAGGAAGAAAGAAAAAAAAGAAGTTAAAATAAAATAAAACTGATCAGAAAAAGAAACAAACTGGATCTAAAATCCTGTAAATATCAAGGAAATTGATATGTACAGAAGAGGGGTTCCGGGAAAGAGTGCTCAGCATATATATAGAAGAACAAATTAAGTGAAGGTGGTGAAAGAAGAAAGAGGTGAATATGAAGAAGGAGAAGAGGAAGATGAAGAAACAAAAGATGAAGAAAGAGAAGAGGAAGATGAAAAGGAGGGCTGGTGTGAAAGAAGACTCGGCGGGTGAGAAGAGGGCAACAACAATTATGGATCTACCTGATGAAATCTTGACTGAAGGTATTATGAAGAGGTTGCGAGAACCGGTGGACTTGCGGTGTATGACAAGAGCGACCAGCCACTGGTATTTACTCTTCAAATCCATGACTAATCCTTTCTCTGGATTGGATTTGCCTACCATCCAATTCGGTAATAATGCTGGCTCATCAAAGCTGGCAAAGATCCGTTTCTCGAAAAGACCAAACAGCAGACTTTTTGATACGTATAAAGTTGCTATACTTTACCCGAATGATTTAGTTTAATAACATTATCTTTTTTATATGGATGGATCCATGCATTATCAGACTTTCCTCTTCGAAAGTTGCCATGAGTCTATCCTCGTTTGACAGGAAGCATACTTATTTTCAAAGAACCCATTATTATTTGCTCATCCAAACTTTATTACTATTGTTGTTCTTTGCACAACCATTGCTTGTCGCGCAAGCATTATCAAATCTACTTTACTACCTCAAATCCGGTCGTATTAGCTAGTTTCCGTAACCCTAGCCCTGAACCAAATCTGAAATTAACCAAACCGAAACATGTGATATAGAATACTCTAATAAATCAAGCCCATGTATGACTCGAATACAGCAGCACAACTGGTTACGACTAGGGTCGGCTTAGACTTCAAAAACTCAATTCAGTGGCAAAAATACTCCAAAACTCGATCTCAAACGTCGTTTTGTTTTTTTTAATATGGTATACATCTTATTATTCATTAAGGTTTCATAAGCTAAGATGACCGAAGTCATTATTAGAGTATCCGGTTTATCTAACCGAGTATTAAAAAACAATAAACCGGATACTCTAATAGTCATATTGTTTGAAAAGAAGATAATATAGGTTGAAACCACAATCAAATGATGTAGTTAAAATTAGGTACCGACTCTACCGCATTAGGTCATTTTTTTCTTTTACATTACTATTTCTTGTCGTTGAATTTGAGGTTCAATTAATATTTTTTTGTCAGTAATATTTTCTTTTCCTATAATTTTATCTTCCAAGCAAGAAGTGTGGTTGATTAATGGCAGACAAGAATCAATTTTTTTTTTTTTTTTATAGTTTGCCTTTAACAACCAATTACTATTCTCTTAGTTTACCACCATCTTTACAACTTCAACGAATGACCAAATCCCGTTATAATAATTATAACTCTTGTTGCGTTTCAAAGGAACTTACAACACAACACTAACTGTGATTATCTAGACTTTCCCTCCGTACTTGAAGTTAACTTGTAGTTTTGTTGCAGAGTTGCTAGAGCGTTTCCACAAGGACCTTCTGCAGAAGAACAAAGAAAGGGGAAGGAGACAAGAGCAAATTACGTTAAATCCCAATTCAAGAATTAGAAACTTGAAAAACATATGGGACAGGTAAACAAAATAAAAAAGGGTATTTACCACCAAATGCTGTATTGAGATATTGAAGATCGTGAGGTGAGCAAGAGTCTATAAGAGCATATACACCAGGCCTTAAAGCTTCATCTACCTCCATGCAAAAGTTGCAAAATCAATAAATTATTATCTAGGCCTCCTAAAACTTCAGGACAAAACACCATTAAGCCATATTCGCTTGTCGTTTATGGAGTCTGTCTGAACAAGATTCAACGAAAGGGTGATGGGTCTAAAAGAGATGAGACAGTTACCTTTTGATACTCGTTTTGAGAGGACCATACCCAGAAGAAACCCATATGTATGTTGACAAGAACTTGAAACAGTGCTGTCCAAAAACTTGCTTCTCCTGTCTTGGCTGCAATTCAGTTGTTTTAAAATGCAAAAAAAAAAAAAATGAGATGCACATAGTTGTAGAATCATAAAGACATCCGCTCTTTATTCCTCAAAAAGAAAGACTAGACTTAGTTGATAGCTTTTTAGTCCACAAAATCGGCAAACAAAAAATGAAGAAGTTATTCGGAGATGAATTTTATAGATTTTTAAGAAGTTATTCGGAGGTGAATTTTAAATTTTATAGATTTTTAAGAGGTTATTCGGAGATGAAATTTAAAGAACTTTTAAAATTTTGAGATAATCTTAATGATAATAAAGTTTGATTAGATCGTAAAAAATAATATGGACGTTCGAGTACTAAAAGTTTTGTAGGAAAATTGTACTAAATAATTAAGTATACTATTTGTTTCATACAGTTTACAGTTTTTTTTTTTTCTTTTTTTTGGCATTTTTCAGGTTGAAAAGGGTTTTCGATCTAGGCTTTCATGACTTTTAGAAAATCTGCAAATTGTCTTTCTTTATCTGATCATAACATTTACGATTTGAACATATTCTCTTCTGGTGTGAAAATAGCCTCGAGTCCAGCTACAGTCCTAACTTACAATTCCAATTCTAATTCCAGCTGTGGTTCAGTTTACTTCAACAAATGAAACTGAATAATTTTGCTAAAAACCTTTATTAAATAACCATGTTTAACAAATCTTTATAATATTAAAATGAAATCTACCAAATAGTTACATAGTATAACTGCCGTAAACAAAATAATGCACAGTAAGACTTTGGAAGAAACACTTGTTAATTAACGTTTACATATGAATAATTAATATGTATTGATTCAACTAAACTATATTTAAACTTTATTAGATTAATCAATAATATGTTGATTTATTGAAATTCTGTAGCTCAGACATATACCAAATTATGGACACGGCTAAATCTCTAATAGCTTTGTTGATACTTAACGTTTCATTTAATGAATGTTTGAGTGCTTATCGGGTTTCTACATTTAATGTTTCTATTAATATCTAATACTATCATCTGATTAATTTCTAAATACATATAAGTAATTAGCTAGTTGGACAATGAAAAGTCGTCTATCAAAGTTTATGGTTACGAGTTGACCCCCTAAAAAGGGCTAATGGTTACAAATTGTTTTATATAAAGTCGCAAATGGGCAAGCTCCTTCAAAACAAAATCAACTTGTTTTGTTGTTATTTAACGGAAAAAAATGTATGACATTGACCTTATTGATCCGTATTACACGGGATTCCATATTAAATTAGCATGTAGAAGAAAAAAAACATTTATATATTGTGGAGTATTCTGAGTACGGCATTTGTGACCATTTTTTTGTTGATAGTAGTATATATTTTTATTTTTATTTATTTTCAGAAGACGATTTGAGAAAATTTACAAACTTGCGTTTTAGGCCCCGTCTTATATTTATTTAGTTACTAAAATTCTTTTTGGGAGACAAAGTGTAAGTTAATTTGAGGCTATATTTCAAAGTACTTAATTATGGTTAGGTTTCATTTGCATTTGGTGGAGTCTGGCATATCTTGACCAAACTTTTTGCATGGGATCGTAGTGTACTTGTTTGGTTAATGGGAGATTTTGTCTATAAGCATTTTTTTTAATAAAGAGAGTTTATTTTTATTTTTTTTTTGAATTTTAGACTATTTTGCTCGTTTTTTACAAAGACTTTAGTTCAAACTTACATTTTCATAATATATTGCATTTATTATTCTAATCATATATATAATTTTTTAAAGTATGTTAATGTACAAATATCATAATTAATAATAACATTTCAAATGGCGATTTTAGTTATCTGAAAGATGAGTTAATATCGTCGTTATCATATTATAACAAGAGTTTAAATTTAGTATGATATGCGATATGAGATGGAAAAAAAAAACAAAAAATTACCAGAGTTTTCTTTAGATCTAGGAAAAAATATATTGTTCTTAAGAAAACTATATTATAAACGAAAATTCAATCTCAAAAACGTCCACCTCAAGTAGGCAAGTAATTAAGAGAAAGGCTCTCTTAATTCATGCAAAATAATGTATATAGTTATCGAAGTCTCCCCTTAATTCACTCACGGCCTTATATATAGTCTTACAATTTCCTAATTATCGAAACACTAACATCTACCAATCAAAGCTTGCAAATCTCATCCACATAATATATAAAACAACCTTTTCTTTCTCTCTCTTCAACGTTTTCTCTCCTCATTTTTCGTAGAACTCGTTTTGCGAAAAATGGTCGAGGGAGTGTCCAAGGCACTGTGGATTACTGTGGCCACCGTGTTTGCAGCAGCCGCGGCAGTCGCACCAGTGGCGCGTGGACAACAAGCGCCATGTTACTTCGTGTTCGGAGACTCTGTCTTCGACAACGGTAACAACAATGCCTTGAACACCAGTGCAAAGGTCAACTATCTACCTTATGGTATAGATTTCCCCCAAGGTCCAACCGGTCGGTTTAGCAACGGACGTAATATTCCAGACTTCATCGGTTAGTTTTCAAACCGGTTCACTTAATCGATGTTTAACAAATGTGTCATGTCATCATGTACCCGATCGTCGTTGCTCTTATTTCTTTCAATAAGTTATTCTCAAATTTAAGTAAGAGAACTATCGTAATATACCACAAAACTAGCTAGTATCAAAATTCAGAACTTCTAAAAATAGCACAAAATTGATGAAGGAATCATAAAGATTTAGTAATTAAGGGTTACTTAAATCAGGAGGACATGTTCTTAAACTTCTAGTAACTCTTTCCAAACCTTCACTTTTGATAGTAAGTTCGGAAAACAAAAAACATGAAATGCAGAATCCTTTAGAATTGTCATTTAAATAAGACAAATTTAACAGATTTTTTTTTTTAAAATAGTTGAGAATTATCAAATTTATTAGAGATTAGAGATCGATCGATCCTTAATCGGTAAAACGAAGAAGCAAATGTTTAACTAAAATATATCTTGTGTAAAAATATGATTTGATCATTTGTGTCAAAATAACATTCTATGTCATCAATTTCTTTTACTATTATATATAAATCAGAGTTGGAATATTTTGGTTTCAGCTGAACTAGCGGGTTTCGATAATTACATTCCACCGTTCGCCGGAGCATCACGGACACAAGCTAACATCGGAATCAACTATGCTTCCGGTGGCGGTGGAATCCGGGAAGAAACTAGCGAAAATTTGGTAATAATATAACAACCCAACTAATGATAAAATATTTATTTATCTCATCTTGAAAAATAAACTAAGTTAACGAAATTAATAATACGTATAGGGTGAAAGAATCAGTTTGAGGAAGCAAATAAGCAACCACCAGTCGGCGATTAGAAAGGCGGCGGTGCCAGAGAGTCAGCTCAGGCGATGCCTATACACAATCAGCATCGGAAGCAACGATTACCTCAACAACTACTTCTTGCAACCTCCTACACCAGCTCGTCGTCTATATACTCCTGATCAGTTTGCTACATCTCTCATACGCTTCTACCGTATATATTTGGTGGTAAGTACGTATTAATTGTATAAAGATAAGAAACGAAAAAATCTAATTCATCTGTTTTATGATGCATGCATGCATGCATGCATGCATTCTTTTATCAATATTTGGCATGCATGCATGCATTCTTTTATCAATATTTTCTAGTTACGTGCTAAATATATATTGTCAAATTCGAGTTTATGTTTTCCATCATAAAGTAGAACATATTTACACGTGAATATATATGTACATCAAAACTGCTATTGTTTCTATTATAAACAAACCAATACGTTATATATATATATATATATATGTGTGTGTGTAGAAATTGTACTTGCTAGACGCGAGGAATGTGGCTTTGTTTGGAATCGGTAAAATCGGGTGTACGCCACGGATTGTTGCTAGCCTCGGTGGTGGCGTTGGCTGCGCAGAAGAAGTGAATCAAGCGGTAGATATCTTCAACAATAAACTCAAAGCCCTCGTCGCAGATTTAAACAGCAATCTCTCTGGGGTTAAGTTCACTTATGTTGACCTCTTCTCTGGAAATGCTCAAGATTTCGCCGCTCTTGGTAAATTCCATACGTCATAACAAATGATGAAATTGTTTTGAAGCAAAAAAATTTAACTCTTTGGATTTTTTTCTATTTCTTTCTACAACACTAATTAAATCAAGAACTTGTAATTATGAGTTTTTGTAGGGATTACGGTTGGTGATAGGAGTTGCTGTATGGTTAAACCGGGTGAAGAACTTTGTGCGAAGGATGGACCGGTTTGTCCTGACCGAACCAAATACATATTTTGGGATAACGTACATACCACGGAGACGATTAATGGGGTGATAGCTAGCTCAGCGTTCAACGGAGACATAACTTCTCCGTTTAGTATATCTCAGTTTGTGAATTAATAATGTGCCTTTAACATAATCCATTGAAAAATGGACAGGCCTTTAGTTTTAAACTGGTTTCGTCTATATCGGAACCAGATAACACATTATCGACTGGAATAATGAATAAAAGGATTGCAATAGTTGACAAAAAGAAGAAGAAGAATTGCGATTAAATATTAGTAAAAATAAAGGCCGGACTATCATTCAAATAATTTATGCGATTTTAATTATCTGAAAAATGAGTTATTAAAGTTATATCGTATCATAACAAAAGTTTGAATCTAGTTTTTTTTTCTACAGCAAATACAAATCCATAAAATTAAACCATTTGTTCAAATAGGTTAGTTTCGTGGACTAACCAATCTGAAACCTGTTTGTTGAACAAATTAACCTTATTGCCCATAAGATCATCTCCATCTCGGTATGTAGTGGTAATTGAGCCAAGTTCCTTGTAAAGGCTCCCAAGCTACTGAATCGAGTTATTTTGAAGAAGCATAAATCCTTCCCGAACAGTTTATCTGTGTTTACCCATGAGGCATCAATTTAACATCTAAATTTACTATCTGGAATCATCGTATCAAGTGATCTTGCATCTTAGGTTTCCACTAATCCACTCGCCACTACTATCAACCTCGCCATTTCTCAATTTCCAATTTCCAGCTTCTTGTATCACTAGTTCTACGGTCGTCATAGGAGAGACATCTTTTCTTTGAAAAATTTGTCATTTTTAACTTTCCAAATTTATCTTATAGTTTAAAGGAAATATTTAACCCATTTTTCTGTATCCTCCGCTCTTTCACCTTTATGAATAGATAATCAATATTGCAAAATAGGGCATTGCTCTGAAATAACTCTCGAATACATGGGATTGAAAACAATGCCCACACTTATAGTGCCAAAAGGCATTGGAAAACAAGTGGTTGATCGACTCTTCATTTGCACCTCATCTTGAGCATGCTCGATCATTGTCACAATGTGGATCAACTAGCTTAATTAATACATATCTAGTCAATAACTTTAAAGTTCTATGTTCAAATATGGTCACAATAATAATATAAATTAATAATTATACATTTATGCATATATTAATAATATAATATAGTAAACTATGATAATATTGTTATTTCAAGTTTATAAAATTTGTTTGATTTATCTTCTAAATTCATTATTATGACATTTTTTGAATGAATCTTACATTGTTGAAAATACTGATTTTATTTTTTTGATGAATATTATATATGAACTAAAAATATCTCTACAAATTAATAAAATATTAATCTCTATAAATTAAATAAAATTTGAGAGTCTCAAAATTATTAATTTATAAAGGTTTTACTGTATTTTTGCTTTAACTGCCATTTATCATGTTTTATAAATTTTATATTTTTCTTATTTACTTACAGCCAAAATATTTCTTTTTTTATTTATTTGGCTGTACAAAGCATTTTTTTCTAAACCACATAATTTTATACTTTTCAAATTTTACAATTCCACAGCCAAAATTTAAAGAAATAAAATCTACAGCTATAATTAAAAATTTTACAGCCATATTTCTATATCAAAAATGTAAAGCTACAGTTATTATACCAATCAGTACCCAAATGTGATAAATGGCAGTTAAAGCAAAAATATATTGGTCAAATGTGAAAAACTAATTCCATATTTACCATTTACTAATTTCTTAATTAAATGGCCAACCGTATATATGTATTATCTACCTTTTTTATTTTTACAGGTTATGTATATTCATTTATTTTTTTGTTCGACAGCTTATATATATTTATTAGGAGATACTATCATATATTTACATTAAAGGTTTCCTTAATCTTAAGATGGTGTATATTCTAGGTTTAGTTTTGTATATATATGATGATGTATACGATGGATTGTGTCGCTAAACCTAGAATATACACCATCTTAAGAATAAGGAAACTCTTTAATGTAAATATATGATAATATCTCCTAATAATATTCACGTACTTCATGCAAAACAATGATTTGGAAGTTCCACTTAATTCCCTCATGGCCTCACATCCTTTATATAGTCTTACAGTCCTAACATCGGAGTTTGCAAATCTCGTACACATCTATAAACCAACCTTTTCTTTCTCTCTCTATCTCTCTTCAACGTTTCCCTCTCCTCATTTTTCGTATAACTCGATTTGCGAAAATTGGTCGAGGGAGTGTCCAAGGCACTGTTGATTCTTGTGGCCACCGTGTTAGCAGCCGCGGTTGCACCAGTGGCGCGTGGACAACAAGCGCCATGTTACTTCGTGTTCGGAGACTCTGTCGTCGACAACGGTAACAACAATGCCTTGAACACCTTTGTTAAGGTCAACTATTTACCTTACGGTATAGATTTCCCCCAAGGTCCAACCGGTCGGTTTAGCAACGGACGCAATATTCCAGACTTCATAGGTTAGTTTTCGAACCGGTTTACTTAATCGATTGAAGACAGCTTTTTCTTTAGTATTATGTCGATTGTTAAAAAATGTGTCATGTCATGAATTTTTTTTTGTTTTCAGCTGAACTAATGGGTTTCAAAAATTTAATTCCACCGTTCGCCGGAGCATCACCGACACAAGCTAACATCGGAATCAACTATGCTTCCGGTGGCGGCGGGATCCGGCAAGATACCAGCAATGTTTTGGTAATTTACAACCCATATATATATATACTTACAATTTATTTATATCATCTTAAAAAATAAAATTAAGTAAACTGATTAGACGTATATATAGGATGAAACAATCAGTAGTTTGGGCATGGGCGTCTCATAGAAGCCTTGTTCGAAAATATATAAAAATTAGACCCTTAATTTAAATAAAGTTTTTTATAGTTATAATAAAATTTATTTAAATTACAAATTTATTAAAAATAATTTTATAAATTTAAAGATTTTGCGCATGATTTTCTTTTATAAAATGACGTTACAAATTTTCAAATACATACATTAGTAAATTATATTTAAATAACCGCATTTTCTCGCTTTTTAAATAAATTATTCAACTAATTTATATATTTTTTTGTTCACTAATTTATATCTTTTATAATTTCAGATTCATGATACTTTAAAACTATATATCAAATTACTTAACTGAAAATGGAGAATCATTTTTTTTTACTTTTTTCACAACAAAAAGTGCTAACAATTATTTTCTAGAAAAATTGTAGAAAATTGTTTAGTTCTGTTATTATTTATAACAAGATTAATTAATAGCCAATCCCTAAATATAGTCAAATTTGAATGTCAACCTTCTCAAATCATATTAAATATTTAAGTCGTTCAAATTTACTTCCAAAATTTATCATTGTTTTCAAGGTTAATTACCTTATAGTTTTTTATTTCTTTCTTGCGAACCAAAATCTATTATTAATTTTTTTAACCCTTTAATAACATTTTTAAAATTTGGACCATGTTCCACTTGCCCATACTAATAGATGGCCCTGAGTTTGGGGAGTCAAATAAACAACCACCAGTCGACGATTAAAAACGCGGCGGTGCCACCAAGTCAGCTAAGTCGATGCCTATACACATTCAACATCGGAAGCAACGATTACCTCAACAACTACTTCTTGCAGCCTTCTTCACCAACTCGTGGTCAATATACTCCTGATCAGTATGCTAGCTATCTCATAAGCCTCTACCATGTTTCTTTGGAGGTACGTATGTATTGTATTAGGATAGGAAATAAACAAACCTATATTATCTGTTGTTGTATCATGATGCATGCATTCTTTTATCAATATTTTCTAGTGACGTAATAGATATATCTATATTGTCAATTTCGAATATATGTTTTCCATCATATAGTAGAACATTCTTGCACGCAAATAAATATCAAAACTGTTATATATTGTTTCTACTTTCTACTATAAACAAATTGTAATACGTTATATATATATGTGTGTGTGTGTGTGTAGAAAATGTACTCGCTAGGCGCGAGGAATATGGCTTTGTTCGGAATCAGTAGAATCGGGTGTACGCCACGTGTTGTTGCTAGCCTCGGTGGTGGCGTTGACTGCGCAGAAGAAGTGAATCAAGTGGTAAATATCTTCAACAATAAACTCAAAGCCCTCGTCGCAGAAATAAACAGCAATCTTCATGGGGTTAAGCTCACTTATGTTGACCTCTACTCTGGAAATGGTCTAGATTTGGCCGCTCTTGGTAATTCCATACTTCAAGCAAAAAAATTAACCTAATTGTTTTTTTTTTCCTTCATTTTATAACACTTAATTAAATCAAGAACTTGTAATTATGAGTGTCTTTTCTTTATGAATTTTTGTAGGGTTACGGTTACTGATAGGAGTTGCTGTATGGTTAATCCGGGTCAAGACCTTTGCGCAAAGGGTGGATCAGTTTGTCCTGACCGAACCAAGTACCTATATTGGGATCGAGTGCATACCACAGAGACGATTAGTGGCGTGGTAGCTAAGTCGGCGTTTGACGGAGTCATAAGTTCTCCGTTTAGCATATCTCAGCTTGTGAATTAATAATGTGCCTTTAATATAATCCATTGAAAAATGGAGAGGCCTTTTAGTTTTAAACTGGGTTCGTCTATATCGAAACCATATAACACATTATCTACTGGAGTAATGAATGAAAGGATTGCAATAGTTGACATAAACAAAAGCAGTACAACATTTTCACTCATATATATATATATATATATATATGCCTTTGCGATTTAAAGTTTTAAAGCATGATGGTGATGCACATATTTAACCAACTCAAATTCCAAAATCATGAAAAAATAATATATATATATGATGAATTCGAGTTTGAGTTGATATACGTCTTTAGACTTTGTTACATACCCCCGAATAAATCAGCATATATAGGCCGAATATATGTTATAGGTGACTTACTATAATATCCAAATTAAATCGTGGAAACGTTTTCATAAACTTCCTCATCTAAATTTACGGGTTTGCGGTTTTGCTCAACCTCGTTAGGGAATATAGTAAACGAAGAATAGAGTTTAATATCAAACCTTCCCGAGGATAGTGTGAACACGGTACAGTCTTAGTTCTCCGTTGTTTCTTCGTTTCGTTCTCGTTTATATTACACTGAAAATCTTGAGCTTTGGGTGGAATATTACGGTTTCGCCATGCTAAAATTTTCTTTTGCTAATCATACAGACGTTTTCACACTTGGAATTGCAATAGCTGACAAAAAGAAGAAAATCGCGATTGAATAATAGTAAAAATAGACAGAAGCAGTATAATATTTACTCATATATATATTATCCCTTGCGATTTAAAGTTTTAAAGCATGATGGTGATGAACATATTTAACCAACTCAAATTCCAAAATCATGCATGAAGAAAAAAATGATGAATTCGAGTTTGAGTTACGTACGTCAAACCACTACAAATTACAACTGCGTCTTCTTAGCATTTGTTATTAGTTTAGCCGATCTAAAGATTTTTCTTTCTTCCAATCTATATAGGCCACATGCATACACGCAGAAACAATACCCCCATGCTCCTACTAACGATAGCTAACTACAACCAGTTTCTTGTTTTAACTAACGTCGTTAGAGACATTTTTTTTTCTTTTTTTTTTTGTGGAAAATTAATTTAATAATTTGAACCATTTCTCGATTTGTGCGTGTCATTCTTGCGCATGGACCATGCTAATCTTCTCTGTATCGTTATAATTTTATTGGATGTAGGGATACTATGACAAAAACGGCAATGGCGGTTTCATTTCTGCTCGGAGCTTATTTTGCAATTGATTTGTATAGGGTACTATACTAGTAAACATGTATTGAAACATCAAATTAAATATATAGAATAAAATAGAGTTACAATATCATTATTCAAAAATAAAATATTATATTGATAAATGTTGCAGCATCGCATAAAAACATAAAATAGGCGATAGGAAATGATAGAAAATAGTCTTATAGATTAGGATTGGGCGCAACCTGTGTTCGGTCGGCGCGACAGAAACACCATACCCAAACAAAGATGATCAAGACCAACACAGACACGACTGAGATGAATAAGATGAGACCGTGATCCATTTTGTTTTTTGACCACACACAGTGACTTACACACACACCACAGTTTGTTCTTTCTAACTTTTTCTTTGCGTCTTTTTTTTTTTTTTCATTTCTTAGATGAGTGAGTATATTTTTATATATACGTGTATCATTAATACAAAGGTGAAGTTTGTAAAGGTTTACATATTCATCAAGGAACATTAATCAGGAACTGGAAACTTTATATTTAGTCATTAAGAAAAAAATAATTAGTAACCCAAACTTGGAAGTCTAGCTTTTATGCGTCTTAATAATAATAATCATAATACACATATCTTCATCCATCTTTTAACAGCTCCCACCAGGAACAACTAACCTAAAATCCTAAACTTCTAACCCAAACAAAAAAAGATAAATAAATGAAATGAGAAAACTGAGAACAGACAAAAAGTGATCACATCCCTGTTTGCTCCGGATGCTGCCCTGACGTGGCGTCCTCTGGATGGCTAACTAGCTTCGAGTGTTCATCAGCCGAGCTGATTGAAAACTCAGCCAGTGAGCTAACTGCAACCGACATCCCATGGCAGAGTACTTTAACTGCAATCTCAGCCAGTTTCTCAGCAGCCATCATCTTCTCCTCTTCCACCTTGTCAGCTTCAACAAGCTCCATGCTCTCTGTTCCCTGAGATGATGTATCTTCTTTAAGCTGTCGAGCAAAGATCGAACCCATCCCCGAGGCAAAGAAATCTAGTTTGTCTAGAACCGGCTTCTCGTTCAACCCATTGAGCAGCCTCGACCATTGGATGCAGACTTCGTAAATCTGGTGAGGACAAGTTGATAATGTGACTTTCTCCGGGTCAGGGTCGCACCTGAAACATCTGAGTAACCAGCCGGTTAGAGACAGCACGTAGGATCTCTGGGACGTGATCCATGCTTGGAAGCAGGCTCTCCAGTTTCGTAGCTGAGCCACGAGGTTCAAAGCCGACCGAGCTAATCTCTGAGAGTTTATCTCCGGTAGTGAGGTCTGTTGTTGCTTCTTGTTAAAAGTCTTGGTTGCAAGTAATAGCTTGGCCTCGTCCAATGTTCGCTTCTGTATCTGGTGACACTCTGCCATCACTTTCCACATCTGAGCTAATCTGTAAAAATGCCATTTTTTCAATGTTCGTACCAACTCAAAAGAGGAACCTTTATGTTTCCAGGAACAAGAAAGATAGATGCTTTTGGTATTACCCTTGAAGAAGCTCAAGAATCTGCGGAAGCAGTTCTTGGTCGCGAAGAGTCTCGATCCTTTCCGAGATAGACTCGATTGAGTGTATGTAGACCTTCATCTGAGTGTGTAAATCTCTGATTGTAGCTTTTGTTTTGTCAACCGATGAAGAGTCTACTCCTTTCACATCCTGGTTCCTCAGCACCGAACATTTCTTCTCATATACAATTCGTATCCTTTCTCCAGACTGTCACAAAACATAATCCAAGCTCCGTTAAACCAAGAGATAGAGAGACTGAACTGAAATGAAATCTTCTGTTCAAAAGTCTCATTTTTTATTACCTTTACTTCATCGTAGAGTTTCTTCTCCCACGCATATAGCCGGTCCAGTGTTGATTGATGGCTACCGGAAAGCATACAAGACTCTTCTGAAAAATCACTGCTGCTTTCAGAAGAGCTGAGCAAGAATCTTGATGGAGAAGAGGAAGATCTTGATGAGCCGCCAGAGCGGAACAAAGCTACTGGATTCAGCATTTTCATGGCTGCAACAAGAAAGATTCAGCACCGCATCCATTATATATATATATATATATATATATATATATAAAGAAACAAAAGAAGATCATGTAATGTTCTTCTTACCGCTGAGTTCAGTAAAGGATGTGTATTGCGCTCGACTAGCTTCTAATAAACCCGAGACTTCTTTAGCAGCGTTACATATGACTCCAAACTGATCTTCAAGTTCTTTAATAACTTCTCCCATGCTTGTAGGCCTTCGGTTCAAGTACACAGTGAAGCCAGGTGTCTCTCCTTTTGCATCATCATCTGTTGTAACCACATTCCCTGTTGTTCCTCCTCTGCACACCTCAACGCTTCGTCGTTCTTGAGTTCCAATGCAGTTCATCTCCCTCCCGTTCTCAGTCCCATCTTCTACTCTATCTTCTTCTTGATCCTTTCTACCTCCATTACAATCTTCTCTTGCTTTCATGCCATGTTCCTCAAACCTCACATCTTCTTCAAGATCCGGAATACCTTCTTCCTCACGAACTTGCCTCAGCCGTCTCATCTCATCGTCCATACCACTCCGGTTATCGTAACCGTATCCGTAATGATCCAGTGAAGAAAAGGGGTTCCAAAAGAAATCCCATTGAGAGCTCTGTGGCGAAGGAGGCGGCATGTTGTTCACATGCGAGCTCGCCGGATTCATGTTCATCCCGAAGAAAGTATCTGCACCGTAAGTCTCAACCGGGAAAGTCTCAGGTGAAGTAGGAGGCTTCTCTTCAACAAGAACCGGCCTGCTTCCACTAGCCATCAAGTATCTGACTTCAAGTTCCGGTTCTGCCTTCCCCTGAATCGTTTTCGAAGAGGGAGATAACTCGAATAGTCCGCCTGAGCTGCTCCTTCTCTTCACCGGAGTGACGAATGTATCCAGCGAGAACTCGTGTGGCTCGTCTCCTTCGATGTATTCGCGCAGAGCATCTGAAACTCTTCTCAGAGATTGGATATAAGCAATGTGGCCAGAGGCGAACCCAGTTCTATGTTCCACTGCTTGTTTGATGAAACGCTTCCTGTCTTTGCAGATCTGAACAGCTTCGTCGTCATCAAACCTCGAGTGAGAACATCCCATTTCTCGATTTAATTCTTAAATTTAGCTTTTAATTCCAAAGCTCAAGACTTAAATGAAGTGTCGGAGAAACTGCAGAACTACAAGAACAAGATATCAGATTCTAATATGTAATTAAACGCTTGAACCAGCAGAAAAAGAAACGTTTCTCTAATATATATTTGTCTTAAGTTGTGATTTTCAGATTTGAAAGTTCTTTCGAGTCGAAACTACTCTCATTAGTGTACTTCAATGGAGATTATTCACAGTCAGACTCAAAGATATAAAATGCCAAAGAAATTAAGAAAGAAACCGGTGAGGCCAAGAACTCTAAAATTATATTCTGCATCATGAGCTTAAAAGGTATTAAAAATACATACGAAGAGAATTAGTAGAAAATCTAAAACCTTTTACACATTTGTTTACCCTTTTCTTCACTGAGGGACCCAAATCGGAAAAAAAAAACATATTGAAAAAAGTTTTGATTTTTGGAAGAGAGGGAGAAGAGAGAGAGAGGACAAAACCTTTCAGGTGTTACAGTCAATCAAAAGAAGCTGTGGAGCGTGGAGAAGGAGAGAGAGACGTTGAAGAAAACAACGGTCAAATATTGTCTGAGTAGGAGTGATGAAAGTGAAGAAGGTGAAGAAGATGAAGAGGAAATTAGATAAATATATATATTTTAACAAAAAAAAACAAAAGGAGTGGAACACGGAAATAAGGATATACGAGTTGCCGTTATTATCCACCTCGGTTTTCAGATTTATTTTCGATTTTGCCACTGCTTTTTGCATTGGTTTAATAATCTCCTCCATTCTCACACAATAATGTTTTTGTTTTCTTTTCATTTTTGACAGCAGTCTCAATGGAGTGTTTGATTTTGTTTTATTATATAGTAGTACTTTCTTTATTGTACATGATGTCCCATTTATTTATTATGGCGTTAGGACATGCATTTTTGTTTTATTCATTATCTGCGAAAATTTTAACCAAAGGGCGTTACGACATACAATTTTTGTTTATTTAGCTACTACATAAAATTTGTTCTTAGGCGTTACAACATGCAGCCTTTGTTGTTTTACTACTGTTTAAACTTCATTTATTTTTAACGGTTGATTTAATAATCAAATCAATGATGTTGTTTCCACTTTTTAAAAAATTAAAAAATCTACAGATTCTTAGCCTTCAATTCATAAATTGATTTCTTTGTTCAAGAAAATGATTCAGTTCTCACATGAATCTTTAGAGAATAAAAAGTTTTGTGCTTGGAGGATGGACCTACCAACAAGGGTTTGATTTCGTCTCATGTAAATGATTCATATCTTTCCAAAAGTGATTGATTTGTGAGATGAACGTGTAAGATGTTACAATCAAGCGTGGGTATTTTTGTAATTTCCAGACACTCCGAATGGAAGAATTTAGGGAAATAAATTTTTAAAAAAAAACGAAAGAGAAAGTGGGCCCCACATAATAATGAAATGCCTCGGTACCAGGGTTTTCTCATTGCTACCCTCTGATATTTCACTTAAATTTCGAAATTGACATTTCAGTTAGAAGTCTTGTTGGGCCTATTCGGATTTCTATTTTATTGAGTGAGTACTAACATAGGACTTGTTTTTATGGCCCAATCGGGTCCATCTGTAACCGAACAGATTAATTGTAAGAAAATCCATTAATGTATCATATCATGCATGCATGTCACCTGACGGACACACGATTATAAAAAAAAATCATATCATATCAAAAAAAAATCATATCATATATTATAAAAAGTCACAAGTTCCAATATTTTATCTAAACGAAGAAAAGTCTGGTTTTAAAAATAATCAAGGGAAAAATCCTTGTGAAAGCTAGAAATGTATATAGCAAAGCATTGACATTTCCTATGAAAAAATTCAGCATTTTTAACAAAAAATGAAAAAGAAAAATTTCAGCATTGACATTTGGTAATAAAATAATTTAATAATTTTGGGCTTTATGAGTATTATAATACGACCATTTTTCTACCACAAGAAAATAAAATGTCAATATATCTTTCCTTATAGAGACTGAAAAAGATGTTAAACAGATAAAAATTAAAGAGACTGAAAAAATCAAATGTTATGATTAATAATAAAAACATTAAAACAAATAATTAATTTCCCTCCGACACCACCAACCCTTAAAAGAGTATCTCCTCGAATTTCTGTCCGAATACCATTCGCGCAACCAACGATGGCGGACGGTGAAGAGGCGATGAATCTAAAGACAAGCTACTTCGACGTCGTCGGTATCTGCTGCTCGTCGGAGGTTTCTATTGTCGGAGACGTTCTCCGTCCGCTTGACGGCGTCAAAGAATTCTCCGTCATCGTCCCTTCTAGAACCGTCATCGTTGTCCATAACACCCTCTTGATTTCTCCGCTTCAAATCGGTATAATAATAACCCCCCAAAAAAAAAACAAAAACAAAATCGAGTTTTCTTTTTTCTTCTAAATTGCATCGCTTTTTGACTTCCGTCTCGTTGTTTTCATCGAAAAAGGCTGCGTTGTTGTAAGGGCTCAATGATGGGGCCAACATTTTGGTTTTTTTCTTTATAAACAAAAAGTCAATTAAACCCTTTTTGTTGCTGTAGATTTTGGATTTTTGGTCTAAAACCTGAATGTATCTCTATGATTTTAGCTCAGATTCTAAATCTTGGCTTACGTTTCTTTGGCCTAAAATCGATTTCTTGACAGTGAAGGCTCTGAATGAAGCAAGACTAGAGGCAAGCGTGAGACCATACGGAGAGACAAGCTTGAAAAGTCAATGGCCAAGTCCTTTCGCATTTGTTTCTGGTCTCTTTCTTGCTCTCTCCTTCCTCAAATACTTATATGGTCCGCTTGAGTGGCTCGCTGTCCTTGCTGTTGTGGCTGGAATCTTCCCCATTCTCGCTAAAGCTGTTGCTTCGGTCACAAGGCTCAGGCTTGATATCAACGCCCTCACTCTAATTGCTGGTAAATAGGGTTTATTTTTTAATGATGGAATGATCTTGAGGGAAAGAGGGAGGAGGTTCTGTTGGTGAACTAATATGCATATAACCTCATTCTTAATTGACAGTTATCGCAACGGTATGCATGGAGGATTACACAGAAGCTGCTACAATTGTGTTTTTATTCTCAGTTGCAGATTGGCTCGAGTCAAGTGCTGCTCACAAGGTACCAGTTTGGATCCAATGGATCAATATGTATAGAGCATTTGTTTTTACTTCTCTATTCTCAGCATTGTTCCTAAAGTAATAAACTGTTTTCAGGCAAGCACAGTGATGTCGTCGCTGATGAGCTTAGCGCCACGAAAGGCAGTGATAGCGGAAACTGGAGTAGAAGTTGATGTAGACGAGGTTGAGATAAACACAGTCGTTTCAGTTAAAGCTGGAGAAAGCATACCGATCGATGGAGTTGTGGTTGATGGAAGCTGTGATGTGGATGAGAAAACATTGACAGGAGAATCATTCCCTGTCTCCAAACAAAGAGACTCTACTGTTTTGGCTGCAACCATAAATCTTAATGGTACCAAAACAAAAATCTTTTCTATTTATCTTCAAAAGATCCTAAATCTTTCAGCTGATCATTGCCACAATTTTTGTTATCTTAAGGTTACATAAAGGTGAAAACTACAGCTCTAGCCCGAGATTGCGTGGTTGCGAAAATGACTAGGCTTGTAGAAGAAGCACAGAAAAGCCAAACCAAAACTCAAAGGTTTATAGACAAATGTTCTCGCTACTACACTCCAGGTCAGGAATCATACACAATCTTTAAACCTAATGTAGAGGACAGTTTATTTAAATCTGATACCATATTTTAACTTTGTTGTTTATTCAGCTGTTGTTGTAGTAGCAGCAAGTTTTGCTATCATCCCGGCTTTGTTAAAGGTTCACAACCTCAGCCATTGGTTTCACTTAGCACTTGTAGTGTTAGTAAGCGGTTGTCCCTGTGGTCTTATCCTATCCACACCTGTTGCTACCTTCTGTGCTCTCACTAAGGCAGCCACATCAGGGTTTCTGATCAAAACCGGTGATTGTCTTGAAACCTTGGCAAAGATCAAGATTGCTGCTTTTGACAAAACAGGAACTATTACAAAAGCTGAGTTCAGCGTCTCTGATTTTAGGTCTCTTTCTCGCAATATCAGTCTACAAAACTTGCTTTACTGGTAAGTATGTATGTAATTTTCCTACAGAAACTAAGATTTTTTTTGGCGTATGTTTAAGACACTTTTTGAGATGTTTTGACAGGGTCTCAAGCATCGAGAGCAAGTCAAGCCATCCGATGGCATCGGCGGTTATTGACTACGCAAGATCAATTTCTGTTGAGCCTAAGCCTGATATCGTCGAGAACTTTCAGAACTTTCCAGGAGAAGGAGTTTATGGGAGAATAGATGGTCAAGATATCTACATTGGAAACAAAAGGATTGCACAGAGAGCTGGGTGTTTAACAGGTCTCTGAACTTTGAAATTTCAACTTAACATTCCTTTAGCTCTGGTTTTTTATCTATCTAACATTTTAAAGATGTTTTCTTTGTGGATGCTACATAAAGTTCCGGATATCGAAGCCAATATGAAGCAGGGTAAGACCATTGGTTACATATACATTGGAGAAGAGCTTACCGGAAGTTTCAACCTTTTGGACGGTTGTCGACATGGGGTTGCTCAAGCTCTCAATGAGCTCAAGTCTTTAGGCATCAAAACTGTAATGCTCACAGGAGATAACCGAGACGCAGCCATGTCTATTCAAGAACAGGTGAAGCAGAGTCATGATCTTATCATTCCCCTGTCTCTATTTTAGTGGTCATAAAATAATCAAAGCGTTATCATTTTGACAGCTAGGGAATGCTTTGGATATGGTTCACAGTGAACTTCTTCCGCAAGACAAAGCAAGAATCATCGACGAGTTCAAGAGCCAAGGGCCTACAATGATGGTAGGAGACGGGCTTAACGATGCACCGGCCTTAGCTAAAGCAGATATTGGCATTTCGATGGGGATCTCAGGGTCAGCACTTGCGACGGAGACTGGAGATATCATTCTTATGTCGAACGATATAAGGAAGATCCCTAAAGGGTTGAGACTAGCGAGGAGAAGTCATAAGAAAGTGATTGAGAATGTGGTTTTGTCTGTGAGCATAAAAGGAGCAATTATGGTGCTTGGATTTGCTGGTTACCCTCTGATTTGGGCAGCTGTTCTTGCAGATGCAGGGACTTGTTTGCTTGTGATACTCAATAGTATGATGCTTCTACGCGATGAGCGTGAAGCCGCTTCTGCATGTTACCGTGCTTCTCCTTCTTCACCGGTGAAGCTTGAGGAGGAGAATGAAGGGGAGGATCTAGAAGTGGGCTTGTTGCAGAAGAGTGAGGAGACAAGTAATAAGAGTTGTTGCTCTGGTTGTTGTAGCGGCCCTAAGGACAATCAACAGAAGTGAAAACCTTCTTCTCACTTAGAAGGTTCTATGTAGACCTGTTTTCAAACCAGAGAGAGACCTTTTCTCAATCTCTGGCTTAGTCGCTAGTCAAACTCCGGTTAGTAACATTTGATTTTAACCGATCTTAGAAGTCCTTCTATTTTGGTTATCAATTATTTATGTTTAAAAAATTACATCTTTTCTGCAAAATAATACACACAACTCTACGTCGACAAGCTCTTTGGTGGTATGATATTTTTC